ACACGTAGTAGTGTAATTCATGGCTTCGTTATGTAACTCGAAAACTCAACTATGGGAACGGATATTTGCGCGACTGCTCAAATAAAGGAGTGTACTGTTATATTATATTTTTTCTGTCACTATTCGGACGAGTGAAAGTTAATTGATATTTAGAATAATCGTTCCAAATATTGCTTTGGTGTGAGACCAGATAGGTTGTGGGCATTTACTAACATTTAAGACACCCTGTATAAACATATTCATAAAGTACAATTTGCGCTAACTTAATATTCTAAATTAAATAAACGACACCCTAATGCAGGTACACAGCTCCCTCTACGAATAACAACGCCCGCTCGTATTCCAAGAGCGATAAGTATCACAATACAGCGTCGAGTGGAAATTATAAACAAACGGTACATTATATTAGTTGTTCATTCCACAATACGATGTTCGTTACTATAGTTACTATAATGTATATATCCACAAGTACGGTAACTGAGTCACCGACATACGGTTACCGCAGTAACTATATAGTTACCGTGGTAACTAGTAGATACCAAAAATATTGCCATGATGTCTGAGAGGTTTATATAAATGGAAAATATATTTAGTAATAATAATGCCCTCTTATCTCGTGTTACCCTCGCTCGATTTGATTATAATTTGTATCGTTACATTATAATATTTACAGTGCCTATATGTCTAATGAACACTTCGATACAATGCCCACTGACCACTGGCTATAACACAAACGTTACAAATATAAAACATATCCAAAGTTACTTTTGTTTAATGTCCAATATGTCATTATAAAATTCTGAATGCATAAAGAATATTTTTCATATTATCGTGTAATCGTTGATTATTGTCTAATAATAAAAATATTTATAGTGGAGGAGTGAAAACTGAGCGCTTCATTGAATTCCATAACCAACTAATATCCGGGAACAAAAGAATGAAGCGTAATCAACTCGTACTCAACTCAATAGGAAGAAAACATTTATCATAATAAGTACAAATTATTATCGTTAACAAATTGTATCAAACATTAAACGTTTCGTTTTATTCTAGGGCTCCGTGTGAATGTTGATGTAAAATGATACAATCACGGCGGACCATTACGGCAATCGATCAAACCAGTACACGGTCGGGGTGGCCACACGGGGTGTCGTGTTGTCGCACAGTCATTCCCGCAGCAGCCCGCGCGCCTTCGCGGTCAGCTTGCGCACGCGCCCGCGGGACGATATCGACACCGCCCCCGCCCCCGCACCCGGCGCCCCCGACCCCGCCCCCGCACCCGCCCCGCTACCCGACCCTGGCCGATGGCCGATAAATTTTTATTATTATATTTCATCAATTTTGTATTCACAATTTTATAGTGAAACACGGTATCTAGTGCTTAGAGAAAAGTATTTATATAAGAACATAAGCGGAGGTACGAGAAAGTCTCGATTTGTATTTAATATAAAACATTATTTATAATTATCCTGACAGTCTGCGATGGGACTCGAACCCGTCGAGGATCCTCATAACACAACTAAGCGTACCTGCGTCGCCGTTGTGTTGGGGCCGCGCGCTGCCCGCCGCGGCGTGGCCGTTGAAGTAGTTGTGGTCCTCGTTCACGGCCGTGTTCTGTCGCGTGTACACACAAGTGTATATATAGTGAGTGAACGTATACAGTGTATACAGTGTGTATCACAGAAAGACGTTAGAAGGGCCTTGTGGGCGTGGCAGTGTAGCCACAATCCTGGACAAATGTACAGGAACGTGACTTGAACCACGCGATCGCGATGTTTAGTCATTCACGAACGCGCTCGCTGTAAGTACTGTGAAACACGCCACTAAAAGTGTTAAAAATGCCGACTTTCGCGGTTATTAATTGCAAAACAAGAAGCCCATCCTCAAGTAGGTCCAAATGAAGGAATTCCTTCCATTAGTAAGTAAAACACTTCTCAAATTTAATATTTTTTGCCGAAATTCGTGAAATGTTATCAAAAGTGTGAATCACAAAAAATATATCCATGAAAATATACATTGCTGGAGAAGTGCGCATATTTATTACATTGCATCGTACTAAGTACGTAATGTAAAGAACATCGCGATATCACAGTTTTAAATAGCAACATAATAGATTACGGTAGATGGATAGTGAAGTGCCTGGAAACATATAATCGATTCTTGGTGTGTCAGGTAGTAAAAATTAAATAAAAGTATGGACGATAAAAATAGTGGTAATAAAAAATAAATTTAATCAGAGATTAACAATAGCAATAAATAAACTGTAACCCTATTCTTGACTACCATATTGACTTCGTTTGGTATGCGTTTGTATATTCATTTAATAATGAGTGTGGTAATAAGTCTGTTTTTATATTCTTAATATTGTAACGGAAAATTAGTTTTTTTTATTTTGAACCATTAACAACAATATTTTTTAAATCATCGGAAACCGTTCGGTATAAGTTCCAATAGCGTCTATTGTACTAATAGTATTTTTTTATTTTGTATATATTTATTTACATTATATTGTTTGTCGATATTACTAGTTTCATTTAAGCGATGTTGCCGATTTTACTGTTTACTTAATACTAAATCGAGTAACGTAACGTTAAAAACTTACCTACTATTATTATTTATAAACAAACATACTTATATGTTAATAAATATTTAAGCACGAATAGTACCGATTTAATGTTAGTTCATTATTAGGAAGTGATTTAAGTGTTTCTTACTGAATCAAACAACTAATTAACAATTAATATCTAAAGAAAAAGATAATGTCACATTTAATCAATACAATTCAATGTATATCCAATACAATATAAAGAAATCATTACTCCAGTGTCATTTTAATCATTCGACTTGTTGTTTTTCAATATCGATAGTAAATAACTTCATGTTAATCACTAGTGTGATATGTCAAATTAAAATGGCTTTTACACGTTTATTGAGCACTATAGATGTCTGTTATGGTTGAGCGTGATCGGTCATAGTTGTATTGGAGCGTTCTGATTGGCATGTTTAAAATGCAAGTGTGTGCATATTGGTTTTCGTACAAAGGATGCATGATCGCCTCTCTAGCCTCGTTTCCGTGCTCTGTGGTGTGTGTGCAGTATACCTGCGCGTGCCTGGCGCGGCGCTGCAGCTGCACGTGGCCGTGGCGGTGGCGGCGGTGCAGCGCGCGCTTGCTGATGGCGCCGGCCGAGTATATAGTGTGTACAGTGTATATGGTGTGTACAGTGTATATGGTGTGTACAGTGTATAGTGAGTGTATACAGTGTGCAGTATACCTGCGCGTGCCTGGCGCGGCGCTGCAGCTGCACGTGGCCGTGGCGGTGGCGGCGGTGCAGCGCGCGCTTGCTGATGGCGCCGGCCGAGTATATAGTGTGTACAGTGTATATGGTGTGTACAGTGTATATGGTGTGTACAGTGTATAGTGAGTGTATACAGTGTGCAGTATACCTGCGCGTGCCTGGCGCGGCGCTGCAGCTGCACGTGGCCGTGGCGGTGGCGGCGGTGCAGCGCGCGCTTGCTGATGGCGCCGGCCGAGTATATAGTGTGTACAGTGTATATGGTGTGTACAGTGTATATGGTGTGTACAGTGTATAGTGAGTGTATACAGTGTGCAGTATACCTGCGCGTGCCTGGCGCGGCGCTGCAGCTGCACGTGGCCGTGGCGGTGGCGGCGGTGCAGCGCGCGCTTGCTGATGGCGCCGGCCGAGTATATAGTGTGTACAGTGTATATGGTGTGTACAGTGTATATGGTGTGTACAGTGTATAGTGAGTGTATACAGTGTGCAGTATACCTGCGCGTGCCTGGCGCGGCGCTGCAGCTGCACGTGGCCGTGGCGGTGGCGGCGGTGCAGCGCGCGCTTGCTGATGGCGCCGGCCGAGTCCGAGTCGGACTGCTCGTTGTACGCCCGCGGGCTGCCGCGCGCGCGCAGCATCACGCCCTGCATGCGCGTGACACGTCACGCGCATCGGTACAGGTGTTCGACTGACGCCCCCTTACACTACCCTCGCACTAAGCATAGCTTTACCGAATATGTAACTTTAGGTAATGCCTCACTGAGCACTCGCTTGTAAGGCAACGTTCGTCTATGACTTTGAATGCTTCAGTTACTCTTCTTCTTTTAAAACGCGAAAAATTTATACGTGGTCTTGTACTCGTTTCCGACTTAATAAATTGATTTTATCCCTTGACACTTTCGTTACGGCCAAGGAATATATATATCTATCATATTCCGCAAATGCCCAGCGCTAGGCGCCGCACGATACATATCCTAATTTTATTAAACGTTGCTTAAAATTGTTAGGCGACTCCTTGTTATTCACTTAAAACCATACCCAAATATTTAGGTGTCGTATTTAGGCGACTCCTAAGCTTAGTGAAAACGGCTATAACACTCTAAGAATCGGTAACCGTGCCCCGGGCCTGAGACTCCATACAATATCTACGCGCCGACCACAATCACGGACTGCATTCATACAACTCGCACGCTCACTCTGATTCCCCCCCGCCTCTAGCTTTCGAACGTTCATTAATTTTATTATTTAAAAACTACTGTAAACCTCACTCCCGCTCGCAGCGAGATACTGGTGTTATTATTATTTTTTTTCCACTCTCTCATAGTGTCCCTGAGCTCCAGAGACGGAACATGTACCGACCGCTAGCGACATCGTTTTATACAATTAGTCTCGTTCGGAACTATTTAGACCTTGCCACACAAACACTCTTTCGTGCACCACATCACAATAACGAGAAACCGGTCACCGACCGATGCGAACCACTGTACATGGCGGATCTCGCTCCTGCATCTGATATTGATGAGTAAAAATATCTTCCGCAGCGGGTGTGCCAATTAACACGTTCATATTATTACACTTGACATTAATGGAACACATACATTTGTATGTATGAGTAAAAAAGTTACTCTACTTGTCTGATTTCATGCCTAAACCGTTGAGCTGTCTTTGATGAAATATAAATTTGACCTTGGGAAAGGTTAATGCAGAGGTTAAGGCACTGCAATAGGGCATGAAAGTTCGTATAGAAGTTTGTTATCGAAAGTAACCCCATCACGTGGACCAAGACGCAGGATAAAGTCCCATTTGAAAGCAGAACACATTGCGCACATAAAGTAAACGTGCCCCTGCGCTAGAGCGTAATGGTGGTTGTATCGTGAACAGCAAATGAAATTATTATTCACGTGCAATAATATAGTGTTGGAGTAAATATACGTAGAAACTGCACTTAGTATTTGTCCAAATTCATATTATTAAACGGAGCCTTAGCGCAGGTTTACCTAGTACGACGTTCTAAGGGAGTAAAATGAATTTGAACTAATACTAAAACTGCAATTTTAGCGTAAATTTACTCGGACGCTAAACCTTGTCCGCTAACATCACCGCTAGTGTATCTGTATACTCACGGCCGCGTGCCCGTTCACCTTCCTCCTGTTCGTGTTGCGCGAGCTGCTGTCTCCCTCGCTCGCATCCTCCTGTCTCTGTCTGCGACGGACACAACACACATACACATAAATACTCAGTTCACGAATTTCTGTTATACATATTAAACTCAACAGTCGACGCATTGAGGTTCAAACTGAGTAATCCATCGATTGAATCAGATCAATCTAGATCTGCCCGGGCATATCACGACATGCCGCCATTTATGATTTGGCCATGAAAATCATGAATAGTTTGGCAGATCGACGATAACATAACTAACCGACATTACACTGTGTATATATTATATGTAATTAAAAAATATGTGATTATATGTACTGTAGATTGCAGTTTGATTGAATTTAAGTCTGAGTTTATTTTGAAAACAATTATAATATTTTTTTCTTTTATTTACCAGTAAAATAATTATTCACTTACAGAGATGGCGGTAGGGGAAAACCCGGATTATTGCTCATCTCTGTTTACACAGTACTTTGGTCACCCTACAAAATCGACCGGCCCGAGTGTAGTCGGGCGTATCGTCAAACGTTAAGCATCGTACGGTATGGCGGACGGCAGATGGTCAAATCAAGAAATGACGGTGCCTATATCGTGATATTCCCGGGCAGATCTCGATCGGCCCAATTCAACGGTTGGCTCACAACATACACATAATGTTTTATGTATTTTCTATTAAATTACTAACACTAGATAAAAAGGTTCTTTCGAAATGTTTAGTCCCCTAATCTAGTGCAGTGCACCTGTACCTGTACAGATGCAGCGGCGCGTCGTCGTCGGTGGAGTAGCGCGGCTTGTACGACCGGTCCGACTCGTACCGGCGCCGGTCGCTGCCCCACCCGCCGCCCTCGACCGACTCGACCGACTCGCCCGAATCGCCCGACTCGGACGACGACGCAGTCGAGAAGCGCTCGCGTCTCCTGCCGGGAGACACACGACACTCTTATCTCCGCGGGGAAACCCTCGAAAGATTAACTGACCCGACGCCGATACGTACAAATTGAACGGTTATATAAAACAGAGTTGGCATATACTTCAATTTTTAATTAAAATAAAATATATTACTGATATTAATATATTACCAAAAAATGTGAAGTTCCTACAACTAAGACGTTTCTCTTAGTTGACTATTTTCTTTCCCAAATACACAAAATATAAAAGAATGTTACGTTTTATACGTAAACCATTAACAATTATGACAATAAAAACATCACTAAAGTTAGTTTCAGAAAATAGAAATATTTAAATAATAGAAATCAAACATTGACGTTTTATCATTAGTGTTGCCGCTGTCTTTTTATTTTACGTTGCTATAATTAATCTTACTTTCCTCTTTTAATTAAGTTAAGTAATCTATATTCATAATTGTACCCATAGTTACCGCTCAAAGGTATGTTGAAAACTATAGACTTTATGTACATTAAGAGAAAATATGTAGAAAGCAACCGGAGACAACTAGAGTGAGCGAGTCGATTTGGACTTATTGCCTGAAATAAAAACTCAATGAGCATTTTTAATTAAATGTCTCAATTACACACCTTTTTTATATATATTATACTCTTATTATTATATTATTATAATTAATATTATGATGTATTCGAGACAACGAAGCTACCACAACACCCAGAGCCGAAACAATATAGACGAATTAATTTTCTTATTGATCCGTCCGTAATCGAAACCGGCAACATACGGACATACGGACATCTGGCTACTGCGGTCGTTTTTACAATTGAATGAAATTGAATTTTAGAGGTAAATTTTCGTATAAAAAATGCAGTCATAATATAATGTTAGATTTATAATACTTTATTGATATTTATGTCAATTTTAAATAATGTAACGAAGCTAATAATGCATTGCCATGTAAATTAGACGCGTGTGCAAAGTTTCAGCTTAATTCATTGAGAATAACAGCATTGAAATTCAGTTGCAAGATTCGACGACCGCCACACATTGCAATTAAATTAAAACACTCACTGCTATTCCGAATAGAATCAGTTTATACTTACTGGTGATTAATTTTATTCACTCATAGTTTAATCTAGTTTTATTTCTAGGTTTTCTAATATCAATGGTAAAAAGGCAAAAAGACAGCGAACATCCATTTTCTAGGTATCAGTATTTTACTAATATATTTTATACACAAACCCACATTACCAGTTCATTAATTATTTCAACTTCAATTTAATTCAAGTAAATTTCGATAGCTGGCAATACAGTATCGATCACTTATTTTTTACCATTCAGTACCAATCCTGTCGGTCGCACATATTTTGTCTTGTTAAATTTAAAGTATAATCGTACATATGAGGGAGACAAACATCATCATCATCATCATCATCATCATCATCACCACTTCAGCCGAGAGACGCCCACCGCTGAGCATAGGCCTCCCCCAAAGTACTCCAATGTGATCTACGTCCTGATATCAAAAAAGCCCGTTGTATGGGATCGCTTCCCTGTCCAGTGCCGGTACCTGCGCGGTGTGGGGCGCGCCCGCTTGTGCCGGGGCGCGGCCCACGACCCGGACCCGGAGCCCGTCTCGGAGCCGCCCCCGCCCCCGCCCCGCGCCGCCCGCGCCCGCCGTCGCCCGCGCGGGGGCAGAGCCAGCGGGTCGTTGGAGTCGGACATCTCGCTGGACTCGGTATCGGGGGACGACGCGAGGCGCCGCTCCCCGCCCCCGCCCCCGCCGCGCGCCCGCCCCCTCGCCCGCCCCGGCACCTCTGTAACACGCGGATATAATTCGTAACTACAAATAATCATGTCAGTTATATGTCGATGTATCGCGTGTGCGATTATAGCGTGTCACAAAGTACAAAGTTGGTACATAAGTACATGTACAGATCGTGTAACAATTTCAAGTACCTTTCATATACAATAAAACATAAAAATTATATTGTCAATTATAGATAAAATACATTACAATAAATAATTAATACTGGTGTAGACAGTGAATTAAAATGAACGAGGATTATTTTTTTCTGGTATATACTATTACCATTGTCACGTGACCATATCGAAACTTAGACTGTTCAACCTTATGCATAAATACAACGATATTCGATATGTACGAGCAAGCGCGTACATTGTCTTGTCAGCATTTACACCGCTTGACCCAAATTCGTTCAGTCGTCATTATAATTACTTAAATATCATAAATTCAGTTCGTAATCACCTACCAAGAGCGCAACGCGTACTCATACATTAAATCATACATTCATACGTTAGTTAGTGTTAATAGTTGTTTCCAAATATACAGTTTATATAAAATAAAAGTATAAAAAGAGTGTCTACAGTCCTATTAACAATTTTTTTATATTTAATTCATTAAACTAAAAATATATAAGTGCGATATATTTAAATCATTAAATAATATTTGTTAAAATAGACTTTATGATTGGATAATTAACAATTGGCAATGTGACATTATTTTTTCCTATCTACGAGTATCTTGTTTGTTTTTTCTGATAATATTATTTTAAGCGTCAAAAAACGATCTTTCATGAATTCCTCAACGATATAATAAGACTTTTTCATTAGTATTTCTTTAAGTTTTTCACAAAGGTACCTACTAATTATATATTTTTAATTTTAATAATCCATAATTGGGGCTTGGTTTAAATATGCTTAAATTTATTCGATTGCAGATACCGATTCGATTGCAACAAATTTTAATATAGGTCATTTTTTGTCCACATTCATTTAGATTTTTGCCATTTTTCTCTAATGTTGGTTTAATTGTACCTATTTTTAAATTGCTTTTAATTTATTAACTCGACAGAATAGCTGCACCCTTGTCGGTACGGTTTCGCAGGTAAATGCAAACACACACACATACACATAACACAGTAAATCGCGGATGTTTCTCATTCGCAACAGTTCCGCGAGGTTTTGCTTTCGCCAGCGAATTGCGAAGCACCAAAATGCTTTATCTCGCTCTATTTTCAGCTTAGACTGATACTATCACTTGACACTTATACAACACACTACAACAAAAATACTTTTGTATTTTCGCAATCCGTAGCCGGGCAAAGTAAAGTGTCAAATTAGTATAGATTATAAATTCATAATTAACATAAACATTGTATGCACTCATTACATACATATGGGGCAAGGATATAAAGCAAATATTCATTAGTTTCCATGTACAGTAGGGTGACAATGAGTAATAAAATATTTGGGTACATTACTCGTATGAAATAACATGACACCTGGCGACTTATTCTGTTTGACAGAAAATGAAATATTATCTAATTTTGTAGTGCTAGCAAGTCCTCCAACGCATTTTTCGATTATCGATGATATAACGGAGGTACGACCTGACTCTGCCTCTGAAGATATATAACAAAATTGTACGACGATTAAAAACCGTCCAAAAACCGTTAAAAAGCGGCCACTGACCGTCGCTGGGGGCGCGGAGGGCGCGGGGGGCGCTGGGGCCGGGCGCGGGCTCGGCGCTGGGGGCGCTACTCTTGCTCTTCTTGCCGACGCCCTTGCCTGGAATGTGACGGTCTAATTTTTAAATCTATCACAATCACTTTCAAACTTATAAAGAATTGACTATTTGAATGATATAGATAATTCTAATCTCTGGAGGAAAATGAAGCCTCTTTAAGTCCTTTCAGATGATGTCTCCAAGTATTCCCGCCTGGTGAAAGTCAGTCATTCTCAGTTTAATATGAAATTACTCCTGGATTACTCCTGGGCTGATTCGCTGCTCAAAACACAGTGACAAGCTCCACGCAGACTGCAAAAGATATCCACACGATGAATCAAAAAGGGGTTAGTCTACACTAGATACCGCTATTTTTACACCTCGCTTCTAAGAAGACTCAAAATTGATCATGAACGCAAGGAACTTAGTGACAGTAGCAGATGCCCTAAGACACTTTGGAAGTTTATTAACCGAACATCACATAGACCATCTGCCAAGCCCAAAAACTGTGCCCACGAACTGGTGGATTGTGCAAACATGTCAAGTCATAAATCATCATTGAAAGCATGTAATGCTTACTTCTGTTCAGTCGGTAACAATTTGACAAGTACTATTTTAGCAAGGCTGTCGGAGACGCAAGGAACAATAGGGAATATTCACATTTTTGGAAAATGTTTTTATATGATAATTTACATCGATATATAACTGTAAAAAAATACCCGGTACCGAAAAACTAAAATTTTGTAATATTAATCATTGATGAAAATAAATAATAGCTACGAGCAATTTAAACACCGGAATTTTTGGCGCACTTGTCGTGACGTCAAAGTACACGACTAGAGATGTGACACTTTAAATAAATGTGGATTTTGAGTGATTGATTATTATTCAATTACCCAAATCAATTAACAAATAATTGATTTTTTAAAGTAGACTTTTAATAAATCATATAATTTACCAAATTGGTGAAATAAAAATAAAAGCCTAAAACATCATTTAAATTGTAATCAGTTGTTTACTTTGCGACATAATACATTGATGTTATTGCATCGATGTTAACTTTTTGTTACAACGACATCCCTTGACGTGTACATTTTCGTCACATCCGCTCTGACAAGTAGCATGGCGTTTAAATATTTTAAAGTCACCGCATTTATTTTGCACTTTTTAATAATTATTTTAAAGACGAAAACGAACTGATGTTGAAAAATATTTAGATAGACTTTATTCTAAAGCAATAACGATCGTAATAAAATATATTTAACCCTTTTTTGAATTAGACGCATATTCCCTATTGTCCGCAACACAAAAATAGACAATCCCCCGCTACACTCTTTTTATATTTCGCCCACTGATGAAAAAGAGGTCGAGGAACTCATCAGAAAACTAGATTTAAATAGTTCACCAGGTCTGGACATAGTAAATAACAGAGTCGTCAAGGCCATCGGTCACTTAATATCATCTCTAGTAGATATTTTCTATAAGAGTGTGGAAAGTGGCGTTTTCCCGGAAGCTTGGAAGGTAGCTGGTTTTTATCCCGACATATAAAAGTTCCGCAAAAAATGATCCCAGCGACTACGGCCCATATCTCGGCCCATATCTCTTCTGGGGAGTATCTCAAAACTTCTAGAGAGTATAATAAATAAGAGATCGGTATCATTTCTGGAATCGCACAATATAAAACCTTCCGATACCTATATAATCTCAGATAGGCAGTTTGGTTTTCCAAGATGAAGGTCCACAGAGAACGCTGTCACACTGCTGAACGATACAATAACCACACATCTTCATAACGGATGCAAGTGCATCGGCATGTTTCTCATCATCGACACTCTCGATTTCAATTCTTGTGAAGAAACTAGAGGGATATGAAATAAGAGGGAATGCTTTGAATTGGTTTTCTAACTACATGTCCCATAGGATGTGTTAAAATCGGCAATAGCATGAGTGGCAATAGGCGAGTTGACTTTCGTGTGCCTCAGGGGAGCATTCTGGGACCTACGCTTTTTAATCTTTATATAAATGGCATCTGTTCGATTGCTATACCACTGCCGACATCATATGCTACGCTGCCGATACAGCGCTCATCTTCTATGACAATCAATTTGCTTAGACCAGCCGATTTAGGTCAAATGAAAGTTATTGTTCGTTCAATATTTTTCAAAAAAAAAAAACGCCGCGATCGCAATCGCTTTCACATGTCAAATACTTATAGCGTGAAGTTCGCTTAAGTCTTTCAATTGTCAAATTCAAAGTGATTTATGAAAGATTTTTTTAGACAATTAAGCCGCTAATGTGTTAGATGTCAGTATCGAACGCCCAAACTGTATCTGATAATACAGTACTGTACAGTACGTGGAGTGCTGAATGATACTCACCCTTCCTGTGCTTGTCCAGCGGCGCGTCGCTGTCCCACGAGTCGCCGCCGCCGCCCCCCGGGGCCCCGTCGCCCCCCTGCGCCCCGCCGCCCCCCCGGGCCCCGGCGGCGCGCGCTCGGTGCTGGCGGCGCGAGGTGGCCGCGAGGGGCTCGCCCTCGGAGGAGTCGCTGCCCCCCCCGCCCGCCGCCGACCCCCCCTCGCCCGCTGACACGGAACACACGACAACGTTCACTAACATAACCCAATAACCATATTGTACTGAAGCGGGTAGTGATTTATAAATAAAACACACCGGCTGATGAACTCGTAAAACATATTTTCTAAAAAAACAAATGTTAGCGTGATTCAAAATTTACACTATTGAAATAAATTAATATCGTAATGAACTATTGTTAAACAATGCAAAGGTAGGTTTATAGTAGACATAATTTCCTTGTTATTACCAAAAAATAAAAATAAGTTGAATAAAAAAAAACAAATAATAGAGGGAGAGGGAGCTACGTATACAATGTGCTGTACCTCTCTGCCTCCTCTGGCGCGCGCGGGGCGCGGGGGGCGCCCGCTTCCACAGCGACTCGAACAGCGCGGACAGACGGACCGTCATTGAATATATCTGAAACACGGTCCATTATCGATTACCATTTTTGTGGATGTTTAGGTTGTTACAATTTTTAATTTAACAAACAAAATCATGTTTAAAAAACCAGTATTATATAAATCAATTTAAAGGCGAAGTCGCGCGCAAACACCTAGTACGATATAGTTTCATAACAAGCACTGACAATAAACACACCCATACACACAACTATTAAGTATAATTACACACACACATATGCTAAACAATTGGGATGACGGCCGGGTTAAAAAAATATATATTTATTCCGTCAGTCAAATAATAGTAAAGCATTACATAAATATTATTTTTTTAAACTTAAATTTAACAAGAAATAACTTCGATGGTTCTGTAGAGAAAGTACAAAAACGTGACGTCACACGACATATTAACTCAATGTATCGTCAAAATTTAATGATTACGCAAAAATAAAAAACAAAATGTTTCAAAAAACTACCTGACGGACGAACAAAAAAAAATTTGCCATCATTCGCACTGCTAGAGAACATACAAAATACGAAAGCATTCGACATTTCTCAGGACCACGTTACATTATTTGAAGCATTATTTGAATAAGAGCGCCATCTTTCAAATTCAGCTCTCATACATTTCCACTCAATTTGAAGACATGTGCCGTGGCGAGAGCACTTCGTCACTCACTTGACTCGCATTTCATTTGAGTCTAATAACATTATTAGAATGAAAACCATGCAACTAGACTAAAGATAAATAAGCCAACATAAACTACATAACCAAGTATTAATATGCCAAAACGGTTATGGTCCATAGTATTTAAATATATTACAGATAAAAATATCAAAATTATAGATCCCAAAATTTATCTCAATGTGATTGTAGCTATAGGAAGGTCTGTCCTATCTTCGTATGGATATTGTTGTTACACCATCCTCATAAAATTGCATCTTGCATTGGAGCAGAGTCGAATGTTTCAAAAATTTAGTTCTTGCACTCTTAAAGTATTCTAACTTTGATGAACTGAATTTTACAATCGACAACACGTCGGTTACTTACGTTACAATAAAACGAATCTGTCAAAGGCACAAAAAATATTGCAGGGCCTCTTGTAAGTAACCTGATATGCTGCTATGTGTACTAGCTTTATGGATCAACTAATGAATTCATTAATGAAATTATGGGTATACACTGCGAACACTGCGCAGTGGTCTTACTGCTGAAAAATCTAGCGACTGAGTCCTTTTAAAAAGAGCTCAGTCTTACGAAAACCTACCAACACTTATAATTATAACGCGACATGCCAGCTACACTGTGCGCCTTGTGTGCCATCGTGTTTCTAAGACCAAATTTGGATTAATTACCCACATTTTGTAATTACTTACTGACGTACATGAATGAGAGTATCACTTACTTATTCAAGGAAAGTAAAAATAAATAATAATGTTTATCGAGATTCCAAATGTAATGTGTTCGTTATATGATTTTTGTTATGGCAATTTTTTTTCATTATTGTATACTAGAAACAATTACGTTAAGTTTTTTGATACGGCTGCACTACCAGAGCGTCCTGAGGATGAATTTGTAAAAGTAGTATGTATTAACATAGTTTTGTTTTTCTTTTATATCACACGACATTAACAATTATATGTAAATTAATAATTGACAAATTAGTATTAAATATGTATGATTTTGATGTGTAAAGAACTCAAAGGCTTCATGACACGAGTCTTTTTGAGTGGACTGCAGTCCTGCTGTATAATTCACACGACTCATAAGACTTCAAAGAACTTAAAGGACTCAAAGAACCCAAAGGACTGAAAAAAAACGAAAGGACTTAGAATAAATCTAATGACTCAAGAAATTTTAGGACTGAAAGAACTGAAAAGACTCAAAAGAACTCAAGACTAAGGACTCAGAAGACTAATTAGTCGTGAGTTCTGCAAAAAGAACTTATAGTCGCAAAACTAGGACTAAAAGACTCAGTTCTTTTACAACACTAGGTAAGGTGCTCCCAGTGCTTTTGATCACGTGATCAGTCGAAACAGAATCAGAAAATGATAAGTTTCTAAATAAACAAAAAAAATACTTACGTTTATTATAAGATGGGTTTAATTGATAAATATTTTTTTTATACATAATTATATAATATTTTCTTTTGAAAAGAGGGAATCTTTATATTATATTCACCTTGCATTAACAAATTTGAAAATGGCGCCAAAAAATAGGATTAACAGTATACTGGACTGCGTTCCGTTTTAAAAAGTGACCAGTATAACTAGCTATAAAGGAACGGGCTTCCAGTATACTAAATTGACGTCATACTGTTCAGTGGTCGCAGTGTATATCGGAACATACCCTATGAAACGACAGGCGTACACACAAGTACAGCGGCGTGTACACCGCACACTGATATTATTATCATACACATAGAGCATTTGCGGTGCGCCAATTAGTTTGCATGATCGTGTTAAATAAATTATAATGGAGAGCAACAGGCGTGTTACCTTGTTCGTGTCCTGTGACGAGGTGCAACAAACAGACAAATAAACAAACTCAGCTGTGACATACATAGGCAGGCATGCAAATATACCACCGTAAACATTCATTATAAACATTTTTTTTTTTATTTCAAATGGAGTTTTAAGCAAATTTTCACTATAAATTAAAGAGCGAATAAACCCCATTTTGATTTTATACTATGCACGTGTCGGCCCCCGACACGTATCGAGTAGATATTGAAATTTTAGTGCCATCATCGCAAAGTTTGTGTAACTGATCACGTTCCAATCGAGTGCGTAAATAAATAAAGTAGGGTGACTGTGCTTAATGGTGTCTAAAAAATTGGTATTGGTAAATTTATACCAGACAAAGTAATAATTTTACGAACTTTTCTTTCTATAACTTATGTGACACACAATTCAAAAGCATCAAAACGTCGCTTTACAATCATCATCATCACCAGCCTTCACTACAGGCCTTCCCTGTGATACAAGTCTATTCGAAAATACTTTATGCCCAATGTTCATTCCATATTCACTGATGAATGTTACTATTATTATTCTTATCTAATGGAGTATGGAAATGGAGTATGGAGCAATTTGATAGCATGTATTGGCGAGGAAAGAAATCTATATATTTCTTATTAAAAATATTGCGTTTTAGTTCGAGCGCCGACCGATCGTAAAGCGACAACCGCGTCGCTTTACGATCAAGCTACAAAGTGATATTACCGACCGGTCCCTCGTGTTATCCTGCTCGAAGGACCGTTCTCAGTCTCTATGGATTATACAACGGGTGCACGGAGCGCGTGTAACAAACATTAGAGCCGTCAACACAGTGTACAACAGAACGCGATTCCATTTTATTAAACTTCCACAGACTAATTCACGGATTAGTTATGTGGACACACGGTGGACGATTGTGTGCGTGTGCGTGTATGTGTGTACGTGTGTGCGGTTACCCTGCTCCGCTGGTTGGTGTTGTAGAGCCGCGAGTTGTCGAACACGAGGCGGATGTCCCGCGCGAACTGTCGCGGGCTGCGGTACCGGCGGGCCCGCAGCCGGGACTCCACCGTGCCCAGGTCCATCGGCTGGGACACCACCGACAGGTAGTCTGCGGCACACATAGCACAGTTAACAGTTTCTGACGACTGAACATGTAACGGAAACACGTCGTACACCACACCATGTGCTGGTGAGCGGCGACCTCTTTAGTTCTATAGAGAACTGATTAAATGCAATTTTAAATATTTAAAGTACCTGGCGCCATGTCCAGCGAGACCGGCCGCTTGAACGGTTCAGCGTCGGCGGAGGCCATCAGCTCGCGCAGCACGCGCGCGCACCACTCCTCCCAGCCCCCGCCCCCGCCCCCGCCCCGCCCGCTGGCCCCCACGCCGTTCATGTTCTGCACATTACACACCTTTTATATGACAACTAGCCGCTCGATAAATTCTCCCAGTCCAACATATGCTTTCGATTCTCCGAGAGCTGGGAATCAAAATAATGAGTGAGTAATTGATTGACCTGTCACTTGTTTTTCTCTAAAGATCGCATCTACCCCCCATTAATGATATAATCTAATTTGGGTTTTGTTTAAAATAGAATAAAATTTTAGCATCTCTTCATCTGGAGATTCGTAATCTGCTAAATTATGTTTTGAAGTTATAACAGTTTAACAGCTGTACTCGAGATATTTGTGAAGTTCCTTTAAAAATTAATCCATTAATATCAAAGGTTTTCATAGTTTGACTCGCAAATATAGAAATAAATCTAAATATATCGGTAACGATATAACGTAACGAACGTCATCTTAGGATCCGAATCGCATGCGGGTAGTTAAAAATATCTATCAGCGTCGCAATTTCTATAGTAAAGATATAATATCCCGACATGAAATAAGCACAACATCGGACATGACCGCGAGCAGGCTACCTTCCTGTTGACGGCGGCGGCGCGGGCGAGCGGCTCGTCGTCGGAGGAGTGGTACGTGGCGGCCAGCTCGCGGTACTTGGCCACCACGTCCACGGTGCGCCACGCGCCGATGATGTGCAGCAGCAGGTCCGTCACCAGGCGCGCCTGCCGCACGATGGCCGAGTGCGGCTCGTTGAACTGTTCCGCGTTACTGCGCCAAGTAGCGCACGTCGAACTGCGCCGCCGCCGCGCGACGGTAGAACTGCAGAGTTACAACGTGTCCCATATATATAGACGCCTCGTTCCGGTTCCGTAGACTTGCGTGCGTGCGTGTACGTATACGTACCAGGTTCTCGAACCGCGCCCGCACGGTGGCCAGGTCTATCGGGTACGGTATGACGCGCGCGTACTCCGGGTACAGGGACAGGTCCACGGGGGCCACGAACGGTTCCGCCACCGACAGCGACATCACCTGCGAGACACGACACGACCGAGTGAGTGAGTGAGTGAGCGAGAGCGAGCCAGCTGGAGCGCGCTAGCGGGGGCGCGCGCGTACCTGCGAGAGGTGTTGCGCGATGGCGCGGCAGGCGGGCGTGCGGTGCCCCGCGGGGGGCCACTCGTGGGGGCGGGGGCGGTACAGCACCGCCTCCAGCTCGCGGGCCAGCACCGGCACCGCGCCCCCCGCCTCCGAGGACACCCTGCATCATCATCGACATATGTCACTCAATCCTGCCGACTTCCCATGATAAAAGTTCATTTTAAAAAACGACGAGCGATAACAAAATACATCATATCAGGCTAGAAAAGCCTGTTTACCTACGTTTACCCTCCGACGACGGCTATTTTTTTTAAATATATCACCAGTGAGAGCTTTTTAATGGTATAAGGCTTTATTTAAGCTATATCTGTTTAATCATCGGTCAGTACATCACTTGCCCGTGAATTTGACAAATGAGTGACAAAGAGATACGCGATAATTGAATACTAAAATCAGATCAGTATAGTGAGCCCTGTGATATCATGATTAAGCCGTTTTTACCCTTGGCGTCGTTAAGCCGATTTGTTAAATGAAGTGACACCCATTCTTTATATATCGCTTTGGAAGGCGGTTATTGGAAGTCCACGCAAAGGTCCAACAAAAAAAGGCATTCAGGCCGCCTTTCGATACATACAAAATTATGCTATTTGGGTTGCAAAACACTATATTCCAGAAACGTATCAACGGGTTTTACGTCGGTCTTGTTATGTAGAACGTGTTAAAATGTTAAATATCTAGACGACCTCATGGCACAATCGTCACACTTCCAGCTCAATTTGGATGACTCGCGATCGATTTTCTTGATAAGAAAATTTATTTGACTGCCAATATTGACATGACAGGACGAAGATCTTCTCGGATGCTTTTACTGAGAATATTTGGGCAACTTTATCGAGATTGACAGAAAAAAGTTTATTATATGAAGAATTCATTTATACTTCATTTTAAATCATTTGCTACTTTTTGAAATGAAATATTAACCCCTTGAGTGTCGTACGCACATACGTATGTTCGTAAAATAAAATGGTTTAAAGTGTCGGACGCACACCCTATGTGCATAAGCGGATTGATGTAATTGGTCGTTGATTTTTGTTCTTAGCTTAGTCCGAATCACGGTCCGACTTTACATTTCGTTTCTTTACTAATATTTAATACACTCGGAACAATTCTAGCTGGATTCGGACCGCCAAGCCAAACCAAAAATAATAAAAACAAATTGTCTGTCATTCATTGTCGAAGTGAAATTTAACGTTGTTATTGTGACTGTTTTGTGAGTGTTAGTGTGATGTTTTCGAGACGTAAACGGTGAGAATTTTTATAAATACCTACTGAGAAATGATTATAGTTTATTTGTAAAGTAAGAAAAGTTAAAAAAAAGCAAAAAATATGCTTGAAAAAGGGCTGTAACTTTTGAAGGGTGTTTATTTTCATCGTTTCGTCGACCATATTTTGTCATATATTACTGTGAAATATCCTTTTATTTCCTTTCAAATGATCATTAGTAGTCAGATTATTTATCTAGGAACATAACGTAACCAATCGTTACTCATTTTTCTGAGATATTTTGATAGAAACGAAGTTATTTATACTATAACTTCGTTTCAAACAAATTAGCTGTCAAATCCAACCGCCATTTTGGTGTATTACGTAATGAAGTACCACCAGCATAAAAATTGTTTGGATGTGTCCTACTATAATAATATTAGAAATGCGAAAGTACTGTTAGTATGGATGTATGTTTGTTATTCTTTTACGAAAAAAGATTTGGATGACATTTCATAATAATATAGGTTATACATCAGTATATTATTTATCCCATAAGCTGTTATTTATCCCGATTTTCGCACGCGCACGGGCACTACGCGGGTGAAGCCGCGAGTTGCCACTAGTATTTTTAAAGTACACTCTTTATTATCAATTATAATAGATAAAAGAATTACTATATAAAAAGTAGTAAGAACATATGAATACTCACAACCTTTTTTAAACTGACGTTTTTTATTTCATAATAAATAAAAATAAATTGACATTATCTATCCAACACTGATGTTTGAAAGTGGACGTGAGTAGGTATATCTAAAGAGTCATATATAGAAATGCGATTCTTGAGAACATTCTCTGTAGAACCATTGCATTGTTTATTTCAGATAAAACGTATAATATGAAAAAACATTATTTTCTTGTATTCATAAAATCCGTATTTTTTGTCAGTTTAGAACACAAGACAAAAGACTTTGATTATACTGCAAGCACGTGTATTTTGTTTGTAAAGAATCATAACAGACATTTTGTTTAGTTTTGCCTTTGCGATCTTTTTTGTTGACCATTATACTGTGCCAGGTAAGGATACTATCTATTCAAATCGTTTACAGTATAGCTGGTCGTAAGAAATAGGTATTTAGTAATAAATAATGTCGTAAAAAAACAATGTTTTAGATAAGGCTATCATCTAGCATTCAGCCGGGACCATTGTTCTATATGACAGGCATGTTAAAAAATAATAATAAAAAAGTCATTATTATTAGTGAACAAAAACTAAAATACGTTCATAACTTAATATAATTTTGATTAGGATATTATTTATACTTATTAATGTCAACATCAACAAAATCGAAATTACTTCAAATATATTACATAATTTTGTTCATATTTTTTTTTTGCCAACGGTACCATTGCGATATCACGTGGTCCGACTGCACCAACGGTCAACCGGCCCGGCGGACAGTAAATGGCCGACATTACGAATTCCCGCGCTAACATAATGTAAATATTTGTTTTACGGTATCAGTTGATTGTTTAGAAACGAATAACTTATGAAATAGATGCGTGAATATATGTGTGATAATGTGACAGTGTTTGTGTTAGTGTACATGTGAGGGAATCCGATATATCATCATTCGTTGTTGGAGTTAACAAGTCGAAAAATCATAATCGTCATTTGTTTTTCATCTTTACGCATAAACGTGAGTATTTCGAACTAAATAATATATTTTACACGTTCAGAAATTTTATGGCGAAGACAATGATGTGCGTATTATGTAATTATTATTGCAATAGAATGCCCTAATAATGGTTTTTGTGAGCCATAGTAGTCAAGGTAATATTTTTTTTGAAATTCACGACATGCTAGCTATATGTCCGGTAGAGAGAGAGAAACACTCAAGAGGTTAAGATGAAAAAGAGTACACATCTACTTTTTACTCGAGTAATCGAGCCAAGGTACAAATTAAAATTGATAAACTTTAAATTACACAAGATTAAAATCCATTCGATCGGTCCGGGCGGGAGTCGCCGTGACGGGGAGCGTTAGCTCGTTACCTGTCCGGGTCGACGGGCTCGAGGTCCCAGGGCGAGAGTCTCTCCACCTCGCCGTTGTCCCAGCGCACCTTCAGCGACAGGAAGTGCGCGGCGGCCGCGGCCGAGAACGCGCCCGCCTCCGCCTCCGCCTCCGCATCCGCCCCCGCGCCCGCTTCCTCCACGCGCGCCGCCCGCTCCACCACCTCGCCCGACCACCACGCGTCGTCGATCATGCACCGAAACCTGTACAGATGGCAACATTTTCTGTTCTGCGCTCGGTGCCCGAATTCGTGGTGCGTCTCAATGACACACGTGCAGTGTACCTGTCGCCGGGCCCCCAGCGCCTGGCGACGGCGAGGTCGTACTGCTGCTTGAGCACCAGGAAGTCGATCACGTCGGCCATGTCGTGGTAGCGCACCGTGAAGGCGCGCCCCCGCCCCCCGCCCTCCAGCGCGCAGCTGAGCCTCAGACAGGCCACGCGCGGCGGCTTGATCACGTACTTGATGCCGGTCACCTTCACCAGCTCGCACTCCTGCACACACACACACACACACGTCAACATGTACCCACTATCCTGCCCACTCTATATCTATATGTGTATATATCGCATTGTTACGCACGTGTATATGCGTCCTCTCCCACGGTTTATCCCTCGGGTTGATCTTGTACAGATCCTTCTCAGCCACCGCCTCGAAGTACCGCTGGTGACCCTGCACACACACACGCACACATTCGCTGAATGTTGATAAAAACGCCCTTTAAACTGTCCGAAACACGCTACGAACGTATCAGTGAAGGCGGACAGATGTAACTGACCAGCCTGAAGTAGAGACACTCGTCCCCCATCTGCGGATGGTAGGGCGCCTTGCGCGGCGTCACCGCCGTCAGCCACTCGCCCACGCGGTACAGCTCGGGCAGCTCCCCGCCCGCCGCCCCCGCGGGCCCAGCCGCAGCCCCCGCGGGCCCCGCCCCCGCCCCCGCAGGCGACGCCCCCGACGTGGATGCGCCCCCCGCGTCGGCCGCCCGCTCGGCGCGCTTGCTCGCCAGCGGACTGGGACTGTACCTGTACCGCATATTACGTATCTAAAATCGAGCGATCTCATTTTTGCGCCTCTCTCTGCAACTTACGTTACAGAAAACCTTCCGACGGAAAGCAATAAGTGTTTAAAAAATACGGACGTAGACTATAAACGAAGATAAAATTATGTTGCATTTTTTTTGTTGTGTTTTGTGTTACTAGTGTACTATTTATACTTATTATATTTATAATATTGCATAAACTAATTATTAAAATACAAATATTTTATGCTCGTTGTCACGTGACCGCAAACAGCGCGTGACGTCACGCTCTTTTTACTCATAAAATTTGTTATGCATGTATATGTTATGCATACATAGAACGATATCCGTTACAGAATGTTGAAACATTATTTTTTGGATTTCCACTAATTCAATGAATGATCTTTTTAAAATATATTTCATGTAAAATAGAAATATAAAAAAAAGCTGTCTAATTTACAAATTTTAAGAAACACACCCAATCTTACTGTGATCTATTGAATAATTGTCGATTGTTTTGGTACATCTTAAAGATATTTTAATACGACCGATACAGTAATTCAACAAGTGCTTTCCTCTGGAGTGATATCTATCAAAGTATAGAGTAATTCTCTGCTGCAGTGTACTGTAATGTATATAGTTACCGTCTGGTGGGCAGCGGTCGTCTCCTGGCCCGCGCGGGAGGTCCCGCCTCCCAGTCCGAGTACTGAGACGACGACGAACTGTACACACACACACACACACACAATACATTCGTTAATCACATGTAAATATAAATATAAATAAAAAAATATTAAACAACATCACATACATTGCTCAGATTCCAAGATGAGTAGCTAAAGCCCCCGTATTATGGAATATCTGAGACAACGAAGGTACCACAACACCCAGACCCGAGTCAATATAGAAAAGTTCATTTTATACATTGACCCGACCGGGAATCGAACCCGGGACCTCAGAAATGGCGACACCTTGAAACCCTTTCATCGAATATTTATTTATGAAAAATTTGCTAACAAAAAGGGCACATGTTGGCTGTACTAGCAACGAGTTGTAATGTACTAATGAGTGAACTCTTAGCTTTGTTTCCACAAGGTGAGTAGCGACTTGTCTTTGACAATATACAGTATAATATGATATATACATATGCTGATGTAACGTACGAGGTACAGTCGTCGAGCGTGGGGGTGGAGGGCCTGCTGGTTGAGGAGTGCGGCGACCCGGAGAGCCGCACGGACGAGTCGGACGTGTCGGAGCCGGAACACGACTCCGGCTCCGGATCCGGCTCCGGCTCCGGCTCCACCACGCGCACCTATACGGACACGCGTACACGTATATACAGGACGAGTTGCAACTACCGTCGTGCACGGTGAGTCTTGTTTGCGCGAAACGGAACTTGTGATTTCGACAATCCAATATGATTTTTAATAATGAGTTTCTACAACCGTAAAGTGTAAAATATAATGCAAAATAAAGAAATTGAACAGTATTTGCCACTAATGTTTCGTCTCCATCATTTCGAAAGATTACAAGGAGCACAGCAAATTGCCTACACGACAGTTATATCAATAAATTATTAAACATTGTTAGATGGACAAAGTTCATCGATAAGCGTTAGTGGTACGGCAACTGACCTGTGGCCGGGGCCGCGGGTGCGCGCGGTCGCGGGGCGCGCGGGGCCCCCTGCGCCGGCCGCCGCCCGCCCCCGCGCCCGGCCCCGCCCCCGCGCCCGCCGCCGCGGTGCTGATCATGAGGGGGCGGCGGCGCATCTCGCGCCTGTACCACGCCGCTTCCAACGCGTGCATCTCGGCGCTGCACATTCATTACGAACATTACGACGTGTGCATATGTGTAGACACTAGTGTCGATATACATAGATATATACACTGACTTGGCGCGCTGCAGATGGGCGAGGCGCGCGGGCGGCAGCGGCGGCACGATGGGCGCGGCGCTGTGCGGCACCAGCAGCGGGTCGCCGCGCTGCCACGAGCCCGCCGTGTGCCGCACGCCCTCGCCTGTACACACATACACATACGGGGGTACAGGGGTACAGAGGCACATTCATTTTTATGAATACGCTTTAAATTAAAAAAATAATCACATTGGTCAATTTTTGTAATAAGTTTCATGATGAATAGAATGTAACGTGTATATGTACTTTTGACAAGAAATATAACGTTTATATTTTTAATAAAATTAAGTATGTACAGATTTCACATATAATTTAAATTCTAGGTTCCTAGGTTCAAAGCCGACAGACAGATAGGCGAACGGACGAGGGACGTTATCGGCGTTCGGTTTTCATTTTGAAGACTGAAAGAGAGAGAAGTACTTACCGCGCGTGGGCGGTGCGGGGGCGGGCGCGGGGTCGGGCGCGTGCGCGGGGGCGGCGGGGGCGGGGTCGGCGGCCGCCAGCTGCTGGATGAGCAGGTCCAGGGCGGCGTGCGGCGCGGGCGCGGGCGCGGGGATGAGCTGCTGCAGCGTGAGGTGGCGGCGCCCCGGCACCAGGCGCTGCAGGTGGGGCGCGTGCGGGGCGCCCTCCACGTCCACCAGGAAGGGCGGCGGCAGCACGTGCGGGGGCAGCTCCGTCTGCTCGTCCAGCGCGCCGCCCAGCGCGTCGCGCACTGCACGCAACGAGCACACGGTCACTCCCCCGTCCCGGTCCCACGGCGGATCCCGAGGGTACCGCGCGCGACTCACCGAGCGGCCGGTAGTCCGTGTGGAAGAACAGCTCGGTGGGCAGCGTCCGCAGCAGCGGGTCCCCCTGGCCGAGCCCGTACAGCAGCAGGTGGCCGTGCGAGTCGGACGCGGCGATGCTGCACGCGCCCCCCCACTTCGCGTCGAATATCGCGCCGTCGCCCTGCACACACACACACACCCCCCCTCGTCCGGTCAGATACGGCCACGAACAGAGCAGCCCTAAACCGCGTCGTCCTAATAATTTATCGCGAACGGTAAAATAAATAACATAGATGACCTTCCCGCTAAGAGGATCTCTTCCGGACAATATATGGAGAACGATAATTGAAAGAATCAAGATTATATGGAGCACTAGATGCGGTGGCGAAAACGATGAGATATATAGGTGAAGATTATGTTTATTGCTCGTTCTGCTTATCACCAAAAAAACGTCTTGAACGAGTGGGAGGGAAACAATGTTGGACGATTCAAAAGTACCATTAAGTAAGTTAAGTAGTCTGTTTGAATAAAGATTATTTTGACTTTGACTATGCATCGATGTTTTGACTGACTTGGATAGTTGAATTTTTGTATTAATAATAATACAAACAGAGTAATTATTATTTCGTTCTAAAAACATTTTCCATTGTTCACCCACTGCCACAAATTACGCTGGGAACACTTTTATAAGACGCTCCTATAGATTTTACAATGACAATTTAAATGACGTTGACATTTGTTCGCTATCATTAAATCAATATAAACGAAAAGTGGGGGATGTTATATTTAAAAATGAACAGTATATTAGTACTCGTATTTAGTAATGGAACTGTCGGGTCTATTAGTTACCTAAGTTTTGTTTGTATATCAATTCTAAACGACTGTTTGTTTCCTAAATAAATAAAATAAAATAAAAATAAAATAAATATTACAAACTACTGTCATTTGGATGGACAGAGGGCTGTAAAATTATTTTTGATAATTGAAATTAAATTTTATTTTGGTTGTGTCACATTTTGTCAATTAAATAAAACAATCAATTAATGCGTTTTGTGTAATGGAATCGTCCATTGAATAATAGTATACATCTACAATGATGAAAAAAAATTTTAATACCTCGCAACGTCTATATTAATCTCCGTTGGAACGCATAATCACGTATGAAATTTAATTTTTTTCTTAATTCGATCATAACTGAATACAGCATGACCGAGGTGCCTAAGTGATAAAAACAAACAAACATTATTTTTTGTTACTGTATTTAGGAAGTATTAGTACAAATAATGAAATTGTTTAATACGAATAAACACGGTGTGTACGCGCGTGTACCTGCCCGCTGATGTGGTTGTGAAAGGCGGCGAGGGGGGCGGGGTGGGGCGCGTGCCACACGAACAGCTGCCCGTCGTGGCCCGCGGACAGCAGCACCCCCGGCAGCGTCGGGTGCGCCTCCAGCACGTAGGCCTCCGCCCGGTGCCCGCGCAGCGCCGCCACCTGCGCGCACGACTCGGCGCACCACACCTGCACGTACACGTACACCGTATACAACACGGTCTCTGCCCCACATACGACATCACCACTGGCCAGGCGGCCCACTCACCCGGATGGTGTTGTCCGAGACGGCGGTCATCACGAACCGGTCGCTGCTGTCCCAGCACACCATGGTGACCTTGAGCCGCCTGTGGTCGTGGTGCGCCAGCAGCAGCCGCGGCCGCCACTGCGTCGCGTGCAGCTGCCACAGCGCGGCCGAGCCGTCCTTGCTGCCGGACACCAGGCGCAGGCCGCGGTGGGCCCACGCCACCGAGTCCACCGCGTCCGAGTGCACGGCCGCCTCCAGCACGCGCCGCGGGCCCCCCGCGCCCGCGCCCTCCACCATGTAGATCTGGCGCACGCCACGGTCTCGTCAGTGCAAACGCGCGACTCGCGAACGGTGAAACGGAACGATCGAGAGACGACGACTCACCCGCACGTGGTGATCGGCGCTGCCGGCGGCGAGGAAGCCGCCGCCCGCGGACCAGGCGGCGCATATCATGTGGCAGGCGCCGGGCCGGGTGCGCTCCACGTACTGCACGGGCCGCGACAGGAACTGGCCGTCGGACGACGAGGTCCAGAAGGCGACCGACCCGTCCGTGGAGGTGGAGGCCAGCCAGCGCACGTCGCCCGCCCCCGGGGCCCAGTGCACGGCCGTGATGGTGCCCGCGTGCGCCGCCAGGACCGCCCGCGGCGCCCCCGTCGCCAGGCACCTGCGCGCGCGCACCGTTAGCCCTGTCCCCGCCCGCGGAGCCCCCCCCGCGGGCGGCCGATACTCACCACACCCGCACCAGCCTCTCCACGGAGCCCGCGGCCAGCAGCGCCCCGTCGGCGGAGGCGCACACGTCGGTGATCTCGGCGCCGGCGCCGCGCAGCGTCGCCAGCAGCCGCCCGTCCACGGCGCTCCACACCTTCACCAGCAGGTCGTCCGCCCCCTGGACGTGCGACATACCCTCGCGTTACTCTCCCAGATCGATTTACGTCCCTCGTTTCCGGGTTCATTTCATTTTAAACGACGATCACATCAACGGAACCATCCATACGAATTCCCCCCCCTCCCACCGGAAATCTCCTTTGTTATTGAAGAGTGCGCTCCCGCCAACCCCGTCGGTTAAAAAAAAATAATTTACCGTAAACAAATCTATGCATCCCCAGCGTCGGGAATCAAAACAGTATAGCTAGTAAAGGTGGGAGTCGACCGACCGTGACGACGTATCGGCCGGTGCAGTCGAACACGAGGCAGTAGACGGCGGACAGGTGGCCGAGCGTGCGCCGCTGCAGCTGCAGGCCGGCGAGCATGCGCGGCGACATGACGCCCCGCCCCGCCCCCGCGCCCAGCCCCGCCCCGCGCGCCTCCCCCAGCACGCCCGCGCCCAGCTCGCGCGCGCACAGCCGCCGCACTGCGACCACACCATATAGACATCTTTGCTCGTTTCATTGAATAAAAAAAATCACAAACACCTGATTCGATTCATCTTCTACACATCCAAATTTAAAAACCAAAACTACTAGTTCAAGTGGGATATCATTATGAAAAAAAAATATTTCATTTGATTGCAGAACTACAGTAATATTAATAAATTACAAAACACAGAACCCTTGGCGGTCGAGTCCAACTCGCACCAGTCTGGCTTATTTATAAATTCATATTTTAATTAGTGTCTTCATTGTATATAACCTGGATGGAGAATGTCAATGATTGATTATGGGTATGAAGATCCTCTTGATATATCAAACCAGTATTTTTTTTATAATATAATGTTTGCTATAACGTAGTTAAACTTCAATTTATACGATAAATGTTTTTTCATGAATAGAACAATTTAATAAATATCTCAAAATACTGAACTGTTAAAAATCAAAAACAATGAAAGAGCAGCATAATTAAGGTTAGTATTTATTAATTAAACTGAATATAGAATCAATAGAGCTAAATTACTACTAAAATTATCAAAGTTCAGCATGTTTAGTAATACGAGTTGCTTTGCCAGTGCGAGTATCAAAAGTAATAAGAATTTCCAATACTGTGCCACATTAAAATGCATTTATTAGAATATATAAATGCGGACTGGCCCTTATACCAATTCGGAAAATTTACAGTACTTACTGTACGGTCTGTACACCTTTAACTGATTATGATGATGATCTTGATATGTTAATCTTGATAGAAACACTGATTTAACCAATAACTATTTATTTATAGAACCAGAGTAATGATACTAGATAGGGGTACGTATTGCAACATACTGAAGTGAAAGTAGGTTAAAATATTAATTTTAATTGCGGATAAAAAATAAAATGCTGACTGGAGAAATGTATGATGCATGTATCGCACACTTACTACATTAGAACATCCCCAGGAACACTCACCTAACGAATGGTTCCGTTTGTAAGATGAGTATTTCGGTTTTGGTCGCACAAGTGATTCACTCAGTAAGGACAGTCTGGCAGCTAGTCTCGCGGTCACGTCCTGCTGCTGCGGGGCTGCGTCGGGCGCGGAGGGGGGCGCAGGGAGGGCGGCCCCGGCTGCGGGCGGGGTCGCCTCCCCGTTGGCGGGGGCGAGTGCTGGCGCGGGGGGCGGCGCCGATGCGAGGGCCGCCGTGCGAGCGAGACGGAGCGCACTCTCGCATACTCCCGCCAAACGATCCCACGATACATCTGTGTACTGTGAAGCCTGCCAATTTCAAATTTCAAGATTATCATCCAAGGTGATTACATAGCTTATGGAATAATTTACTGTTAGTTTGAGTATTGAGTCTCAGCTAGATAATTAACCAATGCAATGTGACGCTGGCAACATTGGCCCAAAGTAGGTATCTTAATTACTAGGAATTTTAAAAGAACAAATATTAAATAAAGCCACTAGCAGCTTTATTATGTATGATATATATCAGATAAATATCAAATATTGGATATTTTTGTATATATTTTATATATCCGATTTTTGCAAACAATTTATAATTGTGTGATAAAATAGTTTTTATTTATATACCACTAAGATCATTTTATCAATAGGTACCATTTCAAAACACATTTTTTAGAACCCAAAAGTTTTGCAATGAGATTTGATTACAAATGAGTCATTCCATGGTGATGGTTGGGGTCATTTTTACTTTATTATGTACTTAAACATATTTATGTAGTTATATTTAACAGTACACATTAGATATTAACAGTAATTTAAAATTTAATAAATTAGCTCTAATTTAGCAAAAATTTATATGTTTAAATTATGTTCTTTAATAAACAAAATAAAAAAAAAAAAGTTTTATTAACTGAATATTAATATTTAAAAAAACCCTATGGCCCATAGTTAATTTAAAATTCATGCCATCATGAGTGAAAACTAACAAAATTGAATAAAAATGTGACAGCCAGGACATTAATTCTCGTTAACCAAACATTGCTTAATATCAAAGAAGTAACTTACCGTTTTGTATTGCAATTTGAAATTGCTCTCATCAACAACACACCAATTCACAAACAAAATGGCTAAACTATTAACTTTTGAAATCGGAGATACTTATTCTAAGAATTGAACTTAAATAAAATATGTCACTAATAAGTGAAAAAAAAAGTAAGTCTGCAGGATTTCGCAAAAAAAGATTGTTTCGTAATTTTAAGAGTTAATTTAACTGTCCATAAATTTATGTTAATTTGTCCGTATGTGATTGACAGTGGAATGACCTAAATGTGAACTTGTGAAAATATAAATTTTATTTTCACTTTATGATCATTATCATAGTATAATCACGGTATCCAAACATTTCGAACTATAATTTTATCATGAATTTACGTGCAAAACATGAAGAAATTTATGTTGTGGTTTCAAATATTCCCGCGGCCATGCGCGGCAACTGACGTCCCGAAGCTGTCAACGGCAAACCAATCGCGAAGACCGACGGTCGCGCGCGAAGCCGCGAGCGAAACAAAGCATACGTCGCCGTTGACTGTGCATACGTCAGACAGAGACAGGAACAGTCCTAATTACGCTAACACCGCATCCGTCTAATGCATGATATAACAAAATTTTCGATAATCGTGTAATAAGTTGTATTTTCTAACATAAACACAACTAAAACATTTTTCACGTATTTCTATCACATTTTTATGATCATTTCTGTGTATAACACGATTTAAGATTTTTTGTTGTTTCCTTGCAAATTCCAAATTCCGTATCGCAAAACATGATAAATAAGTGTAAATAATCATTAAAAACCCAGTTATAACTGCAAAAACTCACTAATTCTTCGTAGGATTGGGTGTGTAGGTTGCCCTCCCAGTCAAGCCGACGGGGCAGCACCTGCAACAAAGAGATTCGCACAAAAACTTTTCAGTAAACTTTCAGGAAGTTTGACAGTCCAAACCACGTGCGATAGCGACCAAAACAACAATAAGCTCGTACCCGGCACTAATAAAAGCTCAAACTTACTTCTACGCTTTGGAGCTCTTTTAGCAAAGTCTGTAACAGAAAAAGTATTATTGACCACTTTTACACGTATAAAAATAATATACAAACCCAATTTTATCATTTTTACCTTTGCAGTCTCTTTGAGGGGTCCACCCGAGAGAAATTTTGCTATCAGAAAGTAGAGCTCTGTAACCGGGAAAGCTACCATTAGTACGACCTCGGTTGTAAAACATATATAATTTGAAGCTTTAATTTGCGGCTGTCAGCTCACCAGGAATGATCCTGTGCACATCGTTTTGCTCGTCCATTGTTCTAGATTTTTAACACACATTAGGTACACCAACACTATAAAAATTCAGCAAACATTTCACTTCAGCACACATTGTTGACGAAAGATAATGCACTTTCCTGAAATAGCAAAATGGCGTATGTGCTGTCGGTACAACAGCACAATATGAAGATAAAACAGTTTAACTAATTTGACATTAGGACTTTTTCCAGTGTTACCATTTACTGAAATTCAATTTAATTTATATTACATACTTTGTAGCTAGTATATATACTTGTCAAGTACTTGTAAATAAATTGAAGCTCCATTTGTCATTGAATATTAGATAATGTTACTTAGTTTTGCAGATTAAAGCAGGAATTACCAAACTAAAGTAACTTCTTTGTGTTAAATTTTATTTAATTTGACATATGGCAACACTTATTATTAAACGTCAATTTTATCGGGAATGTTGCGTTTGATGAAAATCCAAAAATATGCCGATGAAATACAATAAATAATGGGTTTTACTTTAAAAGATTTCTCATGGGTGATTTTTCCATTTAGAACGCTTTTGCTAGTGTGGAAATCGTGTAGTGTGTTATGAAAACAGTGGTTGCTTTAAGGTGGAGTTTCGTGCTGATGTGTATGGTCAGAAACTAAGAGGTATCCGTATTCAAAGTCTTTCAACCTGTTTGGACAACCACCATGCTACTTAGAATACAATTCTAACTTCTTGAGCTACATCTATAACCTGTAAGTTCCATTTATCGGACCCACATTCACCATTAAATTTTCAGAGCAGCAGTAATGAGCATGCATTTTAGATCAATAGGTAGTTATCGTTTGTTGGCTAAAAATATACACACCTATTTGTAGGAGCTACTGATGTGTAAACAAGTAGGTTAAACTTGGTTGCCTTTATGTATGACTATATGTTGACTATATGTATATCACTGGACAGAGCAGACTGTTGCATTGTTTATTTTTTGCATAGAGCAGTGCAGTAAATACCTATTTATGACATAAAACACATAAAAACACTATAGTGACATTTTAACACAATATCCACTATTAAGCTATATTATCAAGTAATATTTAAATTCAATAGTATTGAAAAAGTTCTGCCCAACTAAGGTTTGAATCAACATTTTTTGTGTAGCTGAAACTTTGACTATATTTTTTACAACTTATATACTTCTGAGCTAACCAGGACCTTACAAGTCTTGATGAACTTTTGAAGCACTTATTACTTTTCATCAATGTTCAGGCAATCCACCCAAACAGCCTAAAGAAATATTTTAACAAATATTTTTAAGATGAAAATTTGTTCTAATATATTTGATCATTTGCCTTTCTAGGACCACACTTATATAGTGTATATACACTTATGTAGTGTAATGACACATTCTTGTAAGGTAACACTAAAAAATGACTACTAACCTTATCATATAAAGAGAGAAGATCTTCTTAACATAATTTCTTAAATAAAAACAATAATCTTGTTCTACTTGAAACATTTTGGTAGTAGAGTGATGCACAAAATGTTATTGATAGACTTTATTGAATTATATGGTGTGTGTTTATATATGATATATTACTATATTTGTAATATTGAGTGAATGTTTTCGTGTGACAGGTAAATGATCTTGCTATTGAAAAGTTAAATTAAAAAAAATAAAGTTTACCCTCCAATCCGCATTGGGCCAGCGTGGAGGGTCATGGCCCATCCTCCTTAACGATCCATAAGGAAGGCCTGAGCCCCTGCAGTGGGGACATAAAAGGGCTGGTGGTGATTGAAAAGTTAGATGCATTCTAATTATCTTGAATTATTATTGCATTTTTCTTTTAATTCATTAAGACAAAATGTTTTGTGCGTTTAAGTACTTTGATAATATTCAAGTAAAACTGTATGTCTAAGAAGTGGAAACTATATGTCTAAGTACAAGCATTTGAAATGCTTGACTTAGGCAGCAGTCTACCACAAAGTAATGGTTAATACAAAAACCTTGTAAACTTACATTAATCAACTTTGTGCATATTTTGTGGAAGAAAGAAATGAAATTATTATTATCAATTTTGCTTTCACAATGCTATCTTGGGAACCTGGTGTGGAGTACCTGGGCATGGTGGATTTTTTGAGCAGTTTTCATTAAGAATATTTTCTAAGAAAGGGTTTTGAACGAAAAATTGATAAAATATTATAACTTCTAAATTTACAATGAAAGATTATTACCAAAATTTTTTAAGTTTAAAATAAAGAAATGTGAAAAAATTGGTAAGAATATCATAACAGCAACAATTTTATATTCATCTAAATTCATTCTGTACCTTCTAGATGAAGAGCTTACAGTAGTTTGACACATAATTTGATTCTAAAACCTTGTACAGTTTGTAGTTTTAATAATGCTAATATAGATGACAACTAATTTTTGTTTGCTTGTCCGTGAGGTGGATTGTTGAAGAATATTAAACTTATATTTTTTATGTATTACAGCAATACGTTGAGCTAAAAAGTCAGCGATATCTTGAGCTAAAAAGTCACATGACATCACACTTTGGTACATTTTCTACGAAAACTGTTACATAAAGAGTCCTCACTCCGCAACTTTAATGCCTGTTATCTAAACTATTTCTTGTAATATAATTTTGTTACCCAGGCGTCATCCATATTGCCTTTCTTTCGAATCTGCAATTGTAAAAGTTATTATCTTTGTTAAATTTTTATTATTATAATGCCATGAGAACTAAACTGTGTTAGTGTCTTCTTAAATTTATATTATGTATTTGTAATGTTCATGTTCATAAAATAATTATTTTGTAATGTAAGATGATGAATGCAATAGATAAGCAATATACCACACAATGTTGGAGTATTGAGCTTCACATGCTTATTATTTCCAATCAATCAAAAATTTCACTTATAGCCTGATACAAATACGAGAAAAACGGAAATAATTCGATATAAGCCTGGAATATTTTTAATCGTGTTTGTGAGCCAATTACAAGAGACTATATTTAAGAATCCATCTCATTTTAGCTACAGAAGGTATAAAAAAAACATCAGGTCAAAAAAAACCTTCATTTATTCACGCAAAATTACTAACACGATTTTTTTCACAAATTTTTGTCTTTATTTATCATAGTGACAATGAAAATTACTAAAATCCAACTAAAAAATTACAGGAAATGGTGATTTATATTAAACTTTATTTTTTACTTAATTTTTTTTTGTTGTAGTTTATTATAATAAAACTTTTATTTAAATATTTATGAGTGGAATTTAATGATATTTAGTAGAATATGTGTTTCACTCAAAAGTGTGCTGCATATATTGCGTGTTATATACCAATATTCCACGGGAATATTGGTATGCAATATTCCCATGGAAATTTTCATTGGATTCAAAACAAAATATACTTAACGCAATATAGTAATATCGATTGAAGTCATATTTCATTGTTAATATTATTGATTATTTTACAAATATTTTTTAAATATTTATTGTCCGTGTTATATGAACATATTAGTTTCCAAATATAATATTAGGTAGATTCATGTTTTTTATGGAAGTACTTGTGTTATTGTTTTGCTAAACAGCGTGAAAATACATAGAAGTCACTTTATATGTATTTTGCTTATCATGCCATCGAGAAATTAAAGAAATTTTATTTTTTTTACTAATAATCCGAAAGAAAATATCGTTGGATTAATTCATATATTAAAAAAGAAATATATGATACCCTCATAATAATAAAAAAACAGCTGTTATGTTTTAATGTTTGATCTCCATACTGAAAGTTGCTATTTGTATCAGGCTATTAGATGAAAGTATAATCTTTCCACTAACTGGCACACAATATAAACAGTGAGATTTTATAAAGGATTATTTGATGAAGAAGTTTACTAAAATTGTTTTCTATTTAAAATGAAAGAAAAAACATAGTCAAAGAAAACTGTGAAAAAAAATCTTAAAAGTTTACATTAACAAAAAAGTTATTCAACTTTGAAGTAGCATTCACAAGAATAATTTTGCTTCACATGTTTTGTTTATTACTCAATGGAGGTCACTAAAAAATCTTCTACCATTATTGTATTGTGCCTATGTATTAAAAGTACAACACTAAAAAACATAAAAAAATATTTTTAAATAAGGAAACAAAAACGTCTTTAAGGCTTTTAGTAGAATATCATATACATTGGTTGATAGTGCCTGCATGCATGCATAGAGTGTGGACCATTTTTGTGCTTATTTTCAGTAAGCAATCATTGCCTCCCATGGGTTAATCCACTACTACAAGCTCATTTACATTGGTTGATAGAGCTTGCATGCGGTGTGCGGCAATTTTCGTACTTATTTGCATTATAGTGTTTGACTGACACTAAAAGTGTTTATGGGCCAGTGATATGAGCCCGCCAGTGCATTCCAAACTACTGGGCTTGTTTCTTTCTTTTCAGTTTTTATTTAAGTTAATTACATCTATGTATTCTTTTAATTCGTTTTTACGCAGTCGGGGTTTTTTGTTTTTCTTTAAATTTATTATTTTTATTTTATACTTTTTAGTTACGATTACTTATTAACTACTACTGACGTACCCTACCTACAATCGTAATAGTTTTGATGACAGAAATGTAATGATGATAACAAAAACAACAGGAATCCAAATTAAATATTTCAAAATTTACGTACGTACTAAAATCATTTAACTATTTTCTCTTGGTGTGTTAAAATCAGTTATAAAGTATGAAAACTTAAATCCATAACAAAGTATTCAATTAGTAGACGCGGAGAATCTTAACACCGCGATTCAGAGACGTGCATGAAATAAACAACGCCATCTATCGAGCTTGGTGGTAAACTTTTTTTTAACTCTGTGACTTGGTGGTGAATAAAAGTTATTTTTTTTTTTACCAAAAATATTTGTTCTTCATGTTTTTTCAGTGTTTTTAATTTTTTTGTTTGTATCGTTTATACTTTAAATAAAAAAGTAAATCAATAACGAAGAAAATCTGTGAGAATGATTGTTTTGCTAAACAGCTTTAAATCGTTATATAGAAACAAACATACATACATAGACTGATAAACACATTACCCTCCTTTGCGTCGCGCAGCCGGGTAATAAAACACATATTTCCTTTTTTTTTTTAAATTGTACTGTTATTGAGCTTTCGAAAATGGTATATTTGCGTGAATTTTTTCTCTTAAATTTTTTTTTCATTCCCTGTGTTTGAATGCTATTTGCTACAAAATAGTAATTAAAATAAGTATAAAACTTATACTTTGTTAAAGTCCATGTTTCAGCTACAGGTTGAGGTATGATACATGTATCTTTGAAGACTTTTGACAAAAGTATTTATGTCGTGGCCTTGTGAGGCGGTTTCCTCGTAGTGCTGCATAGTAGTCCTCCTGTGCGCTAGTCCGACTCGCACTTGCCTCTGTTTTTTATAGTTTATTAAAAGTTGAATTGTGATGTCTCAATATTTTAATTATTAGAAATGTTAGAATCTAATGGTATCATTTACATAAGTAGCTCGGTGGGGCAGTGGATAAGCGCCGCGGCCCGCGATAGTTGTTGTTTAGCATATTTAGCGAGAGCTGGTCACGGGACGGTAGTATTCGTCCCTTGAAAGGTGCTCAGTGCTTCGAAATGCACGTTAAGCGGTCGGCCCCGGCTACATTTGCAGTCGTTAATACCCTCCATTCCGTGTGGGGCCCGCAAGGAGGGTTAAGGTCTATCCTCTTTAACCATCCCTAAGGAATCCTTGCAGTGGGAACATAAAAGGGCTAATGATGATATGGAAAACTACAATTTGTACTTTAATAATTGGATGGATACTCATACTAATATGTCATTCGTATAACAGTCAGTGAGCATGTCGGGTGCGTCGGCGAGCGGGGCGGGCGCCTCCGGCAGCTCGGTGGCCGTCGCGCTCGGTGGACTCGGCGGTTCACTAGAGGATAAGGTCAGTTTCGATAGGAGGTGGACGGGGAAGCCGCAGCGTCGATCGCGAGACGATATCGAAAATTTAACAAAAATTCAATCCGACAGGAGTGCGATCTTCTGTGTCCGGTGTGTTTCGAGCTGATAGAGGAGGCCTACGTGACGCGGTGCGGCCACTCGTTCTGCTACGCTTGCATCGCCAAGGCCGTGGAGCTGCACCGGCGCTGCCCCAAGTGCGGCGCGGCGCTCGCCTCCCGGGAGCATATATTTCCTAACTTCCTGCTGAACGAACTGGTACGTTTTTACGATTCGATATAAAAACTACAGGAAGAGGCGTGCGATAGTAACGGCGTAACGGCGGCCGTAGGTGGCGAAGCGGCGGCTGCGCGGCAGTCGCGCGGGCGGGGGCCCGGGCGCGGGCGCGGGCGGGGGCGGCGCGGGCGCGGCGGAGGGCGCGGGCGGCGCGGAGGCGCTGCGCGCGCTGGTGGCGGGCGGGGCGGCGGGGGCGCGCGCGCTGCCGCTGGCGGAGGTGGAGCGGCTGCTGGAGGTGCTGCAGCGGCGGCGGCGCGCGCTGCGGGCGGAGTGCAGCGCGGCGCAGCACCGGCTGCTGCTGGCCTTCCTGCGCCACCTGCACGCGCACAAGCACCACCAGCTGGAGCACCTCGCCCGGGAGTGCGCGCTGGTCAAGAAGGTACGCACATCACCTAAATGTTTTGCGTTCGTTCTTTTCCGCAGTCGAAAGGCGTCCTGAACGGTAGTGAAACGAAGTTGGATCATTGAAAAGTGCAGTTATTGATTCTATAAGCCTAATAGGCTCGATTCCATGACCAGAGTACCGACCCCGAATGTTCAGGTTGCCATCACCATGTTTTAAAGTCACCTCGGTAAACCTAGGGTCGAATGCCTTATTATTAGAAGGACGACGTACGTGTCGCCTTCCATTGGCGCACACTTCGTTTATTTTCTGTCAGTTTTGTGAAAAAATACAAATAGTTTTCGTTCTTAATTATATGACCAGCCAGCGAGGAGCCCTTCTTAGATAAGATTTTACGTTTGCGTAATTTATACTTTTTTTTTATTCGTAGTTAATTAAAACTAATTTATAGAAGAAAGTACCAGCAATGTAGAAAGATTTTGAAGTACCACAATAATAAAAAAATAATACATGCAACAAGCTATATATTCTTTTTTAAAGTAAATGTGCTTTTTTCAATGGAGTTTTCTCAATCATATGGCCACCATTGTATATCTATGTATGTACTGTGTATACGCGCAGGACATGGAGCACGTGAGCGGCGTGCTGGGCGCGCTGCGGGCGGCCGAGGGGGGCGCGGGCGCGGACGGGGGAGGGGGCGGGGGAGGGGAGGCGCCCGCGGACGACGACATGCAGCTGCACGACCTCGCGCCCAATATCGGTACACGCACACCACACTACACTATACACACGCACACACACAGTATTTAACCATAATATTTAATTATTCTCATTTCGACAGCTAAAATCCATCAGTAATATAACTCGCTTTTATTTTATAACCTGTTATACACGGAGGTTGTTGACTAATTGGTGATGATGTCTGACAGGGGGCAGTGTGGGGGCGGGGTCCGGGGGCGGGGAGGAGGAGAGCTTCGCCGGGGGAGGGGGGGACGCGCTCGCCGCCCGCTGGAGGAAACTAACCGCACACTTCGACGACTTCGTCCAGGTGACGATACATTTAAATGTTTTTTCTATTTAGTTCGAGGAAATTTCAACACAGCTATTAACAACGTTTGAAATGTTTTATTTTTTTATTGTTGTTGCTATTTATTTGATAAACAAAAATAATAATCCAAATTTGGAAGGATATCTATCTCTTAAATGTTTTAATATTGCATGCAGAAGTGGCAAGAAGTAGGGTTTTTCAAATTAATGTTTAAGTATCATGGAAAATTTATACTTATAAGCGATTTAGAGAAAATCTGTTATCTATACATGAGTCGCCATTGTTAATGAACATTATTCGGTGTTCTGTGGTGCAGTGCTACTTCGCCCACCGCGCGGACGAGCTGTACTTCCCGGGCTCGAGCCCGGCGACGCCCGCGCCCCCCGCCCCCGCGCCCGCGCCCCCCTCCCTCACGTCGCTGCCCGCGCCTCCCGCCCCCGCCGCCGCCCCCTCCCCCTCCCCCGGCCCCGCGGCCGCGCCCCTGCACGCGCCCGAGCCCGGGCAGGAGGACCACGTGCCGCGCGCGCCCAGCGACATGTCCACAGGTACGGCTGCCTACCCGCTACGAACATTGAAATCCTTTATTTTTTAATAATTTACAATTTCACTTGTTTTTACCCACTTCAAAAAAAGGGGAACTATTCGACAAATCTTTAGGTGCACGTTTAATGATATATTCGTGAATAATTGAGATGTTTTACATATATTTGAAAAGGTATATTCCTAGGAAGTGTTATAGAATAACGACAGGGGGTATACCCGATACCGGTGGGTGCTACGTATACCGGCGTAACTGCCGCTTAGGGCTTTTTACAATAATATGTGCCATGTGTTCGTTATTCGGAGATGAGTATGCGTAGCGTAGGGGAGGATAAAGTAAAAATAATGTTTGTATTGAAGTCACTTTACTAAGTATCTATCAAAAGTTAATATTGTTAACTAAGTCTATTAAATGTTAATTTAAAATGTTAATGTTAATGATAAATGAGATAATTGTTAGAGAGAACATCCAACCGGTAACGGGGATCGAAATGTTCTGCTGAAAAAACATATGTAACTACAGGCTGGCCGGCGGTGACCTACTTTTCGCCACGAGCCGCGCTTATTTACCTAAACTACGTAAAATGCATATGATGCAGTGTTCGGTCATTAACCGAACAACCCTATTTAATATAATATTTTTGTGATAAGTATTTCCAATTTTAAAAATTATGCACAAAGGCGTATATGCGTTCATTGTTAACGTATACAACTGAGAAAAGCCATTCGTCTATTTACACCGCCAAAAAGATACAGCGACGCCAGCGTCGCCCCAGGGCTAGGGGGGTGGTAGTGCCACTTCACGTGGTTTACTCAGTCTCCAACAATTTCATTTCAAAGTAGCTGTGTCTGTGCATATACTTAAATTTTATTGATTATACGTACGACATTTTGTAATAATAGATCATATAAGAAAGCAGCGATAGTAACGAGAGTACAGACAATTACTTTCTTAATTATGTGCGGCGACCTAAATAAAACACAAAAATGATCAAACTGAATGTCCGGGTAAGATGAAATAACTTCTATTCGTGTTTTACTGTTTATATTTAACTTTCTTAGACAAATAGGGTGTAGGGTGATTTCCCTACATTAATACAATATGCTACAGGGTGCTTAAGGATGCTGAACTATGATAGTGCTATGCTAGGAAACTGCTATGATAATGATACGACCGCGTTGATGGAATGCGTTTATTGCACTGATTGACTTAATAGCTAATTTACAGAAATTTATGTCACGGCAGAAATGCCGATATGCAGTTTTACGTGATTATTATTATATTTATGTACGATGTCTCGTACATAGGAATTTGTAGAGTTTTCAATAAAATACTATTAAACACCAAGTTAAAAGACGTATTGCGCTTTCGCCTTTTTATATTATACATTTTTAATTATTTCAGTTTCGCCTTTTCTTTAATCTTTTTTTTCTTGTATCTAATGACAAAAATCAATAGTTTTTGAACATTATATAAATTCAGTTAAGCATAAGTTATGTAAATATTGATTTATTAATTTTCAAATAATTTTCTTCTCTTTAATGACACACGAGGGCGTAAATGATATGTTATTATTTCGGTCAAATAATAAAATCTGATTAATAAAATTAGGTTTAATAATAAAACTATGGAAGAGCCACAACACACAACTTGCCGCTTTACAGAGGACTTGCCAGATGTCAGCTTGGACGAAATTGAGACGGATCTCAGACAGCTAAAATTAGAAAAGCCCTAGGAGAGAACGGCATTACAACTAAGCTCCTGAAGGCAGACGGCGAGCCTGTAAGAAAGGAATTCAAAAAAATCTTTAATGTCGTTCTTTACGAAGCAAGAACTCCAGAGGCTTGAAGCAGGAGCGTCGTCATATTGTTCTTTAAAAAGGGAGACAAAACCCGTCTGCAGAACTACTGACCGATCCCTCTCCTGAGCCGCGTCTACAAGCTGTTATCGAGAGTCATTACAAACCATCTCTCACGAAGACCTGACAAATTCCAACCATCGGAGCAGGCCGGGTTTCGAAGAAGTTGTGGTACCGTAGACCACATATGTGCGCAGTGCGTACAGTGCGGCAGATCATAAAAAAACAGAAGAGTATAATCGGCTCTTGTGCTTAGTGTGGACTACGATAAAGCCTTTGGTTCAGTGGAGACCTGTTCTGTTCTGGAGTCCTTGCAACAGTGCCAAGTCGATGGCGGTATATCCAAGTATTGAGGTTTCTTTACAATGCCGCAACCATTGCCGTTTAGTTCTAGAATCTACAGACTGAGCCTATCTCTTTGCAGCGAGGTACGAGACAAGGGGATGTTGTATCCCCCAAATTGTTCACAAATAACTCTAAACTGGAACAAACGTGAAATAAACATAAATGGTGTACACATCTCACACTTGTGATGTTGTACCGAGACCGATTATAGTACAAGACAGTGTCCTACAATTTGTTCAAGAATATGTTTTACTTTGGGCAAATAATGAAGTTATGCAAAAACAACGTCGAAAAGGACATCGATAGATGAACACATTTGGGTTAAGCAGCTTTTGGTAAACTACGTCAAGTTCTCGCGTCGTCTATCCCACAAAGCCAAAGACGAAAATCATTAATCAGTGTATCCTACCTGTTATGACATATGGAGCCGAAACGTGGACGTTCACATCGGGACTTGTCCATAAAATGAAAGTCACTCAGCGTGCTATGAAGAGGGCTATGCTCGGAGTTTTCTTTGAGCCTAGCGGATTAGCAAGTTAAAATGGCGATTGGCGGCTCACATTAGCCAGTGGACCGACAATCGGCGGGGCAAATAAATTTTAGATTAGAGACCGCTAAACGGTAAACTCAGTGTGGGACGCGTTCAGAATAGATGGGAAGGTGGTCTTGTTACTTTCGTTGCAACGATTTATTATGGTGTGGTACGAATCAACGATCAACCATCTATTGACGTTTATGCGAAAATTCATAGAATGTTTAAGTTCAATTTTAAGTATTGCTTGCTCACTTGCGGCGTCTGGCGCATATAGCCTGAAGAACAGTTCAAGTTGGGACCGTCACATATTGTTCTATGAGGCTATTTAGTAAAAAGGCGAAAACTAATGTCTGCTTTTTACGTTGTGTGGAAATAAATAAATTATAGATAAGGTCATTGTAAAAAGACGACATCTCACAAAAAATGCTAATTATGTTAAGGTTATTTGCGTATAAATAAAAATAGTCCTACTCAAAAACTATATGCAAAATTTAATACAATCATTTAAGGTATTTTAAAAGTTTAGGCTAAAAGAGTATTGAAAAAACTTAAAAGTTTGATAGTTCCGCTTACGCCACTTTACGTAGAACCCATCGAAACGATGTATGATAAATTAAAGTTTGAAAACTTTTAATCAACTAAGAGTATTTGAATGACGTTTATTTATTTTAATACAGCGGAGCGCGAGAGTATGATGGAGGGCGGGGGCGAGATGACGCGGGGGCTGGAGCTGTTCCGCGAGGACCTGGTGGCGTTCACGAGGTACCGCGCGCTGCGGCCGCTCGCCACGCTGTCGTACTGCAGCGACGCGATCAACTACTCGACCATCGTGTCCACCATCGAGTTCGACAAGGACGAGGAGTTCTTCGCGATAGCGGGCGTCACGAAGCGCATCAAGGTGTTCGAGTACGCGGCGGTGGTGCGCGACGCGGTGGACGTGCACTACCCGTGCGCGGAGATGCAGTGCTCCCACAAGGTGTCCTGCGTCTCCTGGAACGCGTACCACAAGCACGTGCTCGCCTCCGCCGACTACGAGGGCTGCGTCTGCGTGTGGGACGCCGCCACCGGCCAGAGGACGAGGGCGCTGCAGGAGCACGACAAGCGGGCCTGGTCCGTGCACTTCAACCGCGCGGACGTGAGGCTGCTGGCCAGCGGGTCCGACGACGCGCGCGTCAAGCTGTGGGCGCTCAACCAGGAGCGGTCCGTGGCCACGCTCGAGGCCAAGTTCAACGTGTGCTGCGTGCGCTTCAACCCGCGCTCCTCCTGCCACCTGGCGTTCGGCTCCGCGGACCACTGCGTGCACTACTACGACCTGCGCGCGCCGCGGCAGCCGCTGCAGGTGTTCCGCGACCACCGCAAGGCGGTCTCGTACGTGCAGTTCCTGGACGCGCACTCGCTCGCCTCCGCCTCCACGGACGGGCAGCTGAAGCTGTGGCGCGTGCAGTCGCCGCGCTGCGTGCGCTCCTTCAGCGGCCACGCCAACGAGAAGAACTTCGTCGGCCTGGCCACCGACGGCCGCTACCTGGCCTGCGGCTCCGAGAACAACGCGCTGTACCTGTACTACCGCGGGCTGTCGCGGCCGCTGCTCGCGTACCGCTTCGAGGCGGCGCGCGGGCTGCTGGAGCGCGAGCGGCGCGACGAGGAGCCCGCCGACTTCGTGTCCGCCGTCTGCTGGCGGCGCGGCACTGGCGGCACCGGCGGCACCGGCGGCACCGGCGAGCCCGCGCTGCTGGCCGCCAACAGCCAGGGCACCATCAAGGTGCTCGAGCTCGTCTGAACAGAGGTGCATCTGAATCTTCACGCCAATAACCACGCTCGCTCGCTCTGTTGGTGTGTATTAGTTTCGACTATCCTGACGCGCCCTTGACGGTGCACCGTATACGGGGTTGCTTGTGACATGACACCGACCGGCAACCACACATGCCCGCGAACACATCGACAACGACTATTAGCGATAAAACGTTACATTTTGCTACAAAATATTGCTCAACGATCCACTCGTCTAATGTGTAAGTTTTTATATTTTCATTTATTAAAACAGTAAAATAAAAACTATCAATATTTTTTGTACAGAGTATTGAATAACGGTGAAACTCTCGGATCGAACGGTTTTGTTTATGATCTAGTAGTGTGCAGGTGCTGGTGTTTTACAGATAACCCTGTATATTTGTAGCGGATCGGATCGAGTGTGCGACGGTGACGCGTGCCGGTGTGTCAACAATTATGAAATTAGTTTCTTCAGTCTCCTTCGGCGCATTCGCCGAGGAATTATATGCGATTACACCTAACTGCCATTATTTCGTTCTAAATAAATTACAAATAAAAACAATACCGCAGCTCGTTAGCGGCGTGCGTGTGTATAGCTATAGTATTTGTATATATGTGTGCGTCCAATTCGTCCCCTGTACAGTGCTCAACTCGAACCTTGCAATAGATTATAATAAACGTAATAATAATTATTTGAATAAAGTTAATAATCTCTAGCATCGATATAATTATATACTGTATTACGTTAGCACGTGTTGCTACGCGACGGCTGACAAAAAAAAAATTACCTTTGATTAAAGAATCTTAGATACGACATCGACTACAGACTTGCACTCGATGTACGTTTGCTGCCAATGCGCACGCGCATCTGGGCACGACAAAAGTGAAATAGCGCGACGAACTAAGATGTGTTTCGTTGCTTTATTTTGCAATTTGTATCGCATAAGTGTTATATCTCGGATTTTTTAATCTGATCGTTCTTATAATTATAAATAGTATTGTGTGTTAATAATACATTTGAAATTCATATGAAGACTTGATAAAATTATACATATATACGTACGTGTGCCCTGTGTTCATTATATAGCATATGTCGAAAAGTTACAATGATAAGTCTACTTTATATTCCCCGCAAATTGTTAATGCGCCTGACCGCAAATATATCTAATGTATCTCACTTTATTATTACTTTTGGTTATGTATAAAAAAAATGACAATATCAAAAATTTTTACATAGATTTTATTATTTCCATATGCCTCAAAAGTTACATAGAAATTGATTATTTTCCAAAACATCATGCAATAAAATAATATTTTGGGGATTATTCATAAATATCTGAATAATTTATCTGTTGCCTTTTGTGCTGTCTGTACTTACAATGTTGATATGACGTCACGCATTAGCAATTTACGGCGCTTATACACGTAGCGCTGCGAGGACTAGAGTCGCTCGTATCGGTGGTTTGTTAGCGCTCGTCTAGAATGTCGATGTAACTTACTTTGTTGTACAAACATGTCAAAGAATCATGTCCACTTTCCATACATTGAATGACCCGTGACACGTTTTTTCATTTTTTATAGAGGTCGCGTCTACCCACTATTAGTGATAATTTGTAAATAATGTATTGAGTTTTATAATAATAAAAAAAAATTTTTTTCGTATTAAATGAAACGAAACGTAGCAAGCCGTCATCGGGTCCGAATCGCATTGAGGCAGTGTAGCATACCGTAATTCTGGGTCCGAATCGCATTTCGGTAGTTATCATAATACCTATAGGCCTCGCAATTTTTATCCTGACTTTATCCTGGCTGCATTTATAGATATATCACATCACTGGACGCGTTAGTAAATTTTTAAATCACAATTGGACATGATTCTTTCTCCACTCGATTTGAACTTTAATGTTTTACTGTAGATATTAAGATCGACTGGAGACATTTGACACATTGTTGTGGCAGAGACGTGCCGCCACGTGTTGTACTAATCTAATGCCCTAACATCGTTCTCACAAAATGGGAAAACCTTTATATGTTTTGCATTGAACTTTATGGAAACCCTGCAGGACTACTTTTGAACACAATCTCAATATAGATTTCAATACAGTTCAAGTCTTAACTCGTGCTCTTGAGACAGACTAATGTCGATTAACGCATTCGGTACCCACAGAGTATCGAGCCAATTGGCGTCAATACATCGAATGACGAGTGTGAAACGTAATCCTAACGTTCAAGAGAAAGCACGCCGGGTACGTATATTCTTAATAGAATTGGGTTTTCCGTGCAACGTTGCAGTCGTAGGCTTCGATCAAACCTTCATAAAATATGGTATATCTTGAGTTTTAAACTTGTACAGTCACATGCTGCAGAAGTATATACATGATCGATGAAAAGTTCCTATCAAAAGTACTTATTGAATTCAATTCAGTTCAGTGAGAACAGTGTCTGGGTATCGAATGTACACATATGTTTCGTTTGATTAATAATGAATCCGAATTAATGAATAATGTATTATAATGTGGCTAGTGGTGTGTTGTATGTTGCGGTACCGCTGTTGTATATAATAAGTACGCCCCGCGTTAGGTGAACTCGTGCGCGACACGCATCCCAACACGCAGTAGCACAACATGCCTTCGACAATTCTTGTGATCATAGTAATAATAATACTTTAAGTGTACGGTTCTTGTTGTATTGTGTTACAATGAGGGAGTATTAGAAAACAAAAACATTAGTTTCCGAAATCAAATTAGATGTCGCTACGGTACGTTCTTGACTTCTCCATGACAACCCTTCTGGTTTTCTTTCATGTTTAAAAGTAAAAAAAAAAGTAAGTTTTCAAAACTCAATCAACAACTCATATTCTATTTGTACTTTTCGTATTGTAATTTTTTAATATGTTAATTAAAAGGATCGGAAAATAACTGTCTTTGGTCCATTTCTTTTCCTGCAAAAATCAACTTTTGCTAGAGTCGCCATCTAGTGGAGGTGCTTTTTTAGTGCTTTCGTTTTTTTAAATACTTCCTCATTGAAAAAGAGATTACCTAAAAACGTGATCTTTTCGATGTAATTATGTTTTTTTTTTCAAATGTCTCATCGTTGCAAACTGACGGCGTCACGAAATATAGTAGTGTATTATTGATGTTGATTTTAAATGGATATTGAACATGTCACGCGTGATGTCGTGTGAACCGTTGGTCACTAGAACTCTTCGTTTATATATAATTGTAATAATAATGTAAAAGTTTTAGGTGTAAACGTATGCCCAAAAATCCCAAGTAAATGTGCTGGAAAAATGCGTGTAATTGCGTCGATGTTGGCTAAATGAAGACCCCGAGCGGTCACTTGGTGTGTTATCTAATAAATATACGTTTTGTTTCAATAAACCCGACTCAACAACGACCGGAGTTTTATTTATAAGAACTTTCTTAGGTATTACAGCATATTACAGTATATAGTTTCTATTTCAGTATATACATTTTGTATTTTCGTTTTATCAACACAATCTTTTACAGAGCCCCAGCTGAATGGTTTCGAAATAGCTATTTAATCGCACGGCTCCTAGATGTCGTCTACCCAACTAATTAAACACAAACGATTAAGAGCCTTGACAGACACAAATATAAACAAACTCGTTACACGGCCGAACAAGGTGCCCTGTGCGTCACACTTTGTAGTAATTATGCAATTTTATCATTTTTATTTGCTTTGATATTAAATTAGTACTTAAAAATTATGAAATCTTTATTGTTTATCAAGAAAAAAGACCGACCAGAAATAAAAAAAAAAAACAACGCCGTAGTGCGGTAAAGTAATGAAATTATTTTAAAAAAATAATCGCCATCAACATAACATTAAAATAAACCATTTATAATAATAATCTAGACTTGGATCATTATTGTTGATCGAAAAATCTAGCCAGCCAATTCACATGGCGTAGTTAAGCCATTAGTAAAGTTATATTAAGTGTTATAACTAAAAAGAAGAATGTGGCGCCTCCAGAGCGGGTTTATTATTTTTCTGGTCAGGCTTTAATAATAATAATGGTACAAATTTAATGCAGTAATATTACCTTTTTTATATTACAAACAAGTTTCTATAATTGGAAGAATATTTTGTGTGTCAATAAACGAACCCTCAACTGCCAAATTAACCATAACCAAATGAAAAACACAGCTAGTTCGGCCATAGTGTTACGAATGTTCAATTAACATTCAATTAAAGGACTTGACACAATAAATCTGCCGATACATATGTACTGGTTTTTATTGTGTATGTATTTTATAACAGTGAGAATTGAAAGAAACACAAGATTTCAAAAATATTTTTTATTTATATTAATTACAATTTTCCAAACAATAATGATAATTATGTGATCGCATTGATTCTTAATAAGTGATGCTTTCTTAGAACGCATTGAAATAACAAAACAACATGATACTATTAATTATGTGTGTACGTACGTAACGTACACGGTACGCACTAGTGACGTCACAGCGTCACAGCCGAACCCGAACGGGATGGCTGATACGAAAAAAATCATCAATTGCAATCCCTTCGCTGGTAGCGATTTTACAAACAAGTAAATAAATAACGCAGGGGTTTCACTTCCTGTACACAAATATATAACATCTTCTTAAACAACCACCTTACAAGATACTCCAGACGAGCAATCCTTAAATCTAAAATGATTTATGATTATACAAACATCACATAAATAAAGCAAGTCGTGTCATATTTTCAAAACAGACAGAAAATTTACATCCCGCTAACATCAAGTAACATTATGGGTAACATAACAATACCGCGTAAGTAATCAGTACAACAAAAAGTAATTGATATTACATACATAGGTTAGAAATGGTAAGTGGATCTACAAAAAAAGTTTAATTAATTAGTAAACAATTAACAAAATAAGTAAATATTAGACAGCATATATTGCTTGGATCCCAAAAGTAGCTTAAACATTTTGGAAATTTGGAACAATGAAGGGTACCACAACACCCAGACCCGAGACGAGTTACAACAATATATACTATCGACTTACCCCCGCGGTATTGCTATATTATTCTATGAGGTACCTAGAGTACTAGTGTAGTAATACGACACATTTATTCATATTTTTGTAAAATGTTACATTTACAATGCTATATGATATTTTTAAGTACTTTCTTTCTTCCCATATTTTGTGTTAAGAAAAGGTGCTTTTGAAAGTACATTGAGTGTCGGAAACATCGATATCGAAACACAACCACTTATAAAGTGAAATTATGAAGTTTGTGAATAATTGACAGCTACTGGCTACTGTACACGCACGACATCTCGGTTACAGTATTGTGTTACAACAGTACAGTTGACGACAAATATTTAAGCACATTTAGTTATTTAAGTAAATCACATACAGTAGTCAAAATATCCAAATCGATGATACCCCTACATGTATCTAGAGATATATTCCGGAGTATAGTATGGCATATATGACACTCGGAAAAAAAATACAAGAAAATTCACTATTACTACATAGGAAGACACATTAACGATACGTCTTACTCTTATAAACTAACGGTCAACAATTCCTGGATCCCACATGTTTATAACCCATTTGATGGAGTTTACCTAACGTCAACTGTACACACACCGCCCCGGTGCACATTACATGCACGCACACACACACACACACGCACACTCAACGCCCTCGGCAACAAGTTAAGCATTATTTAAAGACCTACTTTAAAGTTTATTTTACAAAAATATATCTCTAAGATTCCTTTAAATCAGTCTTGATAAAAATCAGGTAAACGCTCGCTCCCTCTCGCACGAACCTCAATGGTACAGTCAGCTTCATAAGTAACTGAACACGATAAAAAAAGCTTTACGCCATTAAGTAAAATAACTATCGGAAAATTTAAAACTCGTTGTGAAAAATATTTTTTTTCCAGGCATTTGAAACACCTGTTATTTTTGATGATGAATTATCTATGTACAGTGTGACCTTAACATAAAAAAAAACTACTAACATTGATGTAGTTACTTCGAATAGAGGTTCACGCACATGTATATTTTTATACTACACTCGCTCTGTAAGTTGAGATCATTACTCACCTAATAGCAGGGAGCAAAAGCTTTTCATTAACCCTACTTCAAACATAGGTTAATAATGTTGTATGAAACATTACGAACGGTCTATTCATATTCACTCTTTGAATTTGATGCAAAGAGTAAGGTTTGTTTTGTTACCTGACTGTCAGCATGGCGAATTATAAATGACAAAAAAAGACTATTTGTCTTCGTAAATGTACATAGTATACAGTATTTTATATCCATCGGGGATAAGTATCGGTCGATTACTTAATATTGTAGGGTGCACTCGTTAAGTAAACGATACCTAAATTCCCTTATATTATAAATATAACCTAACCTAACCTGCGACCGCCTTATTCTATACCCGTTTAAAGTTCGTTTCAGTTTACTACTTTGACATTTCTTTTGGTTGTCAAGTGCTGTTTGCATTTAATAGTAATGTGCAGTAGTCCTGTGGCTAGGGAGCGGTCGCACTCCTCTTTCTTACAATTTTTTGGTCAGACCAGCCACTGATTCGTTCATAAAACATACACAGACGACTCATAACATTAAAATTATAAAATTAAATCTTCAGACAGACGATTAATGAAATAAGTATACTAATATCTTCGACTGTACATTTTTGTAATAAAATATAAAGAAAACGGCAATTCACACCCGTAATACTATTGTTTTTACTCACGCAGGCGTTGAAATTAAATGTAACAAAGTTTTAATGTATCTAAGCCGAACACAATAACATTAGCCTCAGCTTCCAGTTTCATACACTTTTGTAACTGTCACCTCACTCTCTGGGACATTCCACATATCGTTGCACGGCGCGCGGCGGCTACAGGGTGGCCGTGTTGGGGTTGTACAGTTTCCTCATGCGCGGGCGCACGCGCGCCTGCGGCAGCAGCGGGACGGGGACGGGGAGGGGGGCGGCGGCGCGTGAGGGGGTGGGGGAGGAGGGGGAGGGGGCGGCGGCGGCGGGGGGAGGCGGCCCGCCCGAGCGCAGCGAACGACGCGGGGGACGCTCCTCTACACAAACCATACAATACAATTATGTACATATTCAGAAAAGACTTGAAAATTCTTTAATAACACATTTTTTAAGCTTTTATGAATGTAGTTAGTTTTTAATAGACTATATGTTGCGAACAAAATTATTTAGAGTGAAGCGCGAAAGTATGTCTTCACATTTTAAAAGGCTAAAATTGAGATTTCGACAACTTCCACAGCTTTTATTGCTCTTTCTTCTTGTCCATAAAATAATGAAAACTCACCGAGCGCGATCTCCGTGTCCTCTTTCTTCCTCGTTCTGAGCGTTACCGGTGCTGGGGAGGGGGAGGGGGCGGGCGCAGGGGAGGGGGTGGGGGCGGGCGCAGGGGAGGGGGTGGGGGTGGGGGCGGGCGACCGCGGCCGCGCGGCCCACGCGCTGTGCACGCGCGGGACCGCGTACATCGGATTCTGTTCTGAATTTGTCCGCTTGCGGTGTTTCAGCTCTCCTATAAAACAGGTGCATTTAATACTTGTGGTTTGCTAGCGTGTATAGTGTGTCTGTGCGCGCCTATGTTTGCATTTTATAATGTTAACAAATTATCTTTTTCTCATTATGCGGTCTCCTAAATTTTGAAATCTAGTTTGGGAAAATGTTAAAATCGAGTTGTTATTTTCGAGTACAACTATGTCGGGTACCTCGTGCGGCGGCGGCGCGCAGTCGGGCCGCGTGCTGCGCGGACAGCGCGAGGAGCCCCAGCGAGGGCAGGATGTGGCGCAGGTAGCGGTTGCGCAGCGAGTGCCACGACCTACCTGCCGCACACACATCACACATTACACGGGCTAATGCGTCACGTCATGTCAACATAGAAAGTACAGACAGCACAAAAGGCAACAGACTAATTCATTATTTAAATATTTATGAATAATGCCCAAAATATGTAATAACTTTTAGTTTGTCAATTTATTGCATGATGTTTTGGAAAAGAATCAATTTATACGTAACTGTTGAGGCATACGGAAATAATAAAAAATCTGTATCTGTAATATATTTTTTTAAACGTAATTTAAAATTATATTACAACTCGACTCAATAAGTGCACTTACTCGTCGACGAGTTTTTATTTGTTAGCAATGCTGCTTTTGAACGCCACTACGTCATCAAAATGGCGGCCGGGCGCATTAGCAATTTGCGGGTATTAATACCTCACACCGCACGGTGTACATTCGACAGCGCGTCAGACTATACAAAACTGACACATTTCTCGACTTGATTTTAAGCCTTAATATATTAAGAGTAGAGTATGAAATCGTTCGCGCAAATTTTACATATTGTGGTAGCCTGGTGTGCAGCCGCGTGTACGTACCGATACATGACTCGTTTGCCTCCTTCCTCGGTCGCATCGAAATGAGAAAAATGGCGAAGTTAAGTAACTCGGTGTGTTTTTCTGACGGGAAATTTTATAAAACCACATTTCGGATGCGACAGTACCATAATACATTGGTATAATGTATTTTCGTCATTTTTGCTCACTCGAGCGTTTTTTCTTTCTTTACACAAAACCGTTGAAAGTTATTGTCAACCACGTGGGCACAGGAGTAATGAACAGAAATGTGGACTAAAATACATATAAGTAATGTATCTATACGTATCTAATAACAATAAAATGGTGTTCAGTAGTCTCACTAATTCGGCAACGGATGCACCGATTTGGGTAGTTATAGGTTTGAAATATTTTTTTATGTTCCAAGAAGAGTTTTAAAAGAGGGGAAAATGTGAACAAATCGCCAGCGACAATTTAATATTATACTAACTCACCTGTAAGTGAAGTTCCATCATAAAAGCTAAGGAATCGACAACCAAGTGTAATCTCAATATAGTGCAAGAACAGCGATCGCAGCGCTCTTATTACGAGTGTTGACATGATTGTTGCCAATCTCGAAAGCCGAGGCCTAGTGTAATGTGGTGGTGAACTCACTGTGCCCGGTGAGCCGGTGGTACTGTTCCTCCAGCTCCCGCCACACGCGGTTCCCGTTCACCAAACGGGCGCGGTCGCCGCCGCTCACGAACGAGACTATCGCGTGATCCTCCAGGTTCGAGTACTCGCGACCGCCGTGGGATCTGACACACATGCGCACGCGCACATATACATACAGACGCACACATATACATATACATATACGAGTGTATGTGACGCAATCCACCCGGTTAATTAATAGAACTCCGAGATCGTCTATACTTTGATTAAAATAAAAAGGGAAGATAAGCTAAGATAAGATTGATCACAATACAAACGGGTAAGTCGTATATTTTAATGTACACGCAGTGTGATTTATATTGAACTTTGCTCTCAATATATTGTTGGACAGTCTTGAATAACCTGAAGTGCTGTCGAAGAATGAAAAGTAGTGAGGTACAGTTTGCATTTAGTTATTTGATAAAATATTGCAAGTGTGGCAAGGCCGTTTTAGTGAACGTTCGTGACTTATTAAGATTTTAAGTGATAATTTTCATTAGTCAAGTTATCTCCCCCCCACCGCCACCCTTCTGCCAACTAAACGGCAGTAGTATAAAGAAGTTAAAAGGAAAGCTATATACATTTAAGTAGAAATTTAAATCTTATGATGAGTACTTAATATGTAGTAATTGTATTTGCACAACACCATAAAAAATATTAATTTTTCGTGATTTTCATTAGTGCGCGAGTCCGACTCGGATTTGGTCGGTTTCTTAAAGTATGATAAGAGGTTGTCTTTAAGTGCACATGTTAGTTGAGAAACAAGTGCGCGAGTCGGTTTATGAAGGCGTCAGTTACGAGGCGTTAGTATAGCACAGTATCTTTCCTTTTTATTTATTAGAAGCAAAACGACACAATATGCGTAAGGATTGATTTATAAATCATGTTCTATAGAACAAACATTTTAACTAAAGCACGTAGAAGCACTTACGATGAGAAAACTCTCAGAGAAAACTCACAATGAAGCTCCTGACCAAAATATGTATGTATAAATTGATAAAACTCACTTGTTTGATGATACAGACTTCTTGGAAGACTGACTCATGAGCTTCATCGGGTTGTTTTTGGGCGCTGGCTTTTTAGTGAAGAATTTAGGCTTCTTTTGCACGAACTCACTCGCTGAGTCACTGGAGCTGCTCACCAGGATTGTTTCCTCTTTCTTCCGTTCTCCCTTTCTCACGTTCTTGGTCGCGCTGACCTTTTCTAACGCACCGGTCTTGTCAATGTTTCTCCGCACCGCTTCCACCATCAACCGTTTTCTCAAAGTCCTATCTCTCTCAGCGTTCCCTCGCGGTTCACTTCTTCTATTAACGATGAAGTTCTCTTTGTCCGTCTCATCAGACGCAGAAGGCGTCGACTGCGCCACCGTCCTCCTCCTCATCTTGTATCTCTTATCTCTCCTGCCCTCCTGATCGGACACAGACCGGAGGCCCAGTTTGGTGGCGAAGTCTTTCAGAGATATATCGGCTTGCGAGATCCGTCGCTCGTGCAACATTCGCTCCAAGCGCTCGCAATGTGCCAGCGACACCAGCGGGTGGATTCTGTAGAACAGTTGCATTTTGAAATTATCGTCTGTATCGAAGCGGTAGACGTCGAAGTCTGGATCGGTCTTCAGTAGGTACGTCCGGTAGAGGTCGACGTCGTTCTCGGCGATGGTCAACTCTTTACAGGGCCGGTCCCGTCTGCGGAGTTGCAGCGACAACATCGACTGGTCGCCGTCGCTGTCTGTCGTCGCGTGTTTCTTGTTCTGCTTCGTCGGCGTCCGCGATCGCTTTCGTTTAGCGCGCGGCTGCGGCGCCACTTGCGCCGTTTCAGTTTGTGCCGCTTTCAACGGTGATTTAACTGAACGGTCGGCAGTTTTACCGTTTCCTTTATCTATGGTGTTTAGTTCATCGCCGGACACTTGAACGCCGGCGTCGGTGAGACACGGCGCGTGGGTGCTCCGAATGTGCACATTCTGTGATGCTTCTCTCGAGCTCGTGTTGCAACTAAAATGAATTACAATGAGTTAGGGGAAACCAAAATACAGGTATGTATTAGAACAATAACAATAATGAACCAACTCACAACATACCCCTGGCCCAGAGGCTCTGGATTTTAAGCTTTAAAATTTTTGATAAATAAATAATTAGAAATAATAAAGTTATAATAATAGTTAGGTATGACAAATAAAACCGACTGTTTCTGTCGCGTGGTGAGAGTGCAGCAGCAGTGGCGGTGGCGGCGGCTGCGTGACCGCCTCCGTGCTCGCGTCCGCACGCATCTGTAACACAACACGCACTGTGCGAGGTCATCATCATCAGCCCTTTTACGTCCCCACTGCAGGGGCTCAGGCCTTCCTTACGGACGGTTCCTTAAGGAGGAGAATGGGCCATGGCCCTCCACGCTGGCCCAATGCTGATTGGAGGGTTTAAAAAATTTAAGTCAAAATAATCTTTATTCAAATAGACTTCTTCTATAAGTACTTTAGAATCGCCCAAAATTTTGGAATGGATCATAATGGTGCTGGCGTCTTTGGCAGAGACGAAGAAGGTAGACTTAAATATATTGTTACTTATACTTGTTATTTAAAAATTTGCAAATAAACTAATAGAATTCTGATAACTCGGCTGTGTATAAGGAAAATGGCCATACATAAAATAATAATAAATTGGCTTATACTGGTGTCCAATGTTGCAAACAAACTATTTATGGGTTTTGTTTTTTTAAGTCCATTTAAAAGTAAGTCTGGAGCTAAGCTTTTCTGTTGAAAACTCTAGTAAGTTACGGCTTAAAAGAATGAACTCCAAATAAAAACTGTTGATATATCACCACACCTAGTGTGTGGCCCTAAACAAATTGCTATGGAAGAAATGTCTAGAACACAAAATAAATAAAGTTTTAATCACATTCTAGCAATCAAAATCAAAATTTATTTATTCAGTTTAGGCTTTTACAGGCCATCGGTTGGCAAAACTACGGCAGGAGACCTTGTACTGAGAAGAACCCGCAAGAAACTCAGCAATGGCTGTTTTTTTTCTCCCTGTTTTATTTCACACAGAGAAGTCTTATTGAAAAGTGACTTCATTAGAATATGAAGTCACTTTCCATTACAATAAATGTAAATGACTGATTTATCAACCCTGTATATTTAATTTCATTAAAATCATTAGAGAAATACTATATTGAACTAACTGCCTACTATATTATAATGATAAAGAACCCATGTCCAGAGAAGTTGACAGAAGAATAGCAAATGGCTGGTATAAATATTGGGCACTTAAAGAAATCATGAAAAATAAAACACTAAACATACATAAAAATAACATTCATATAAAAACAAAGTGGAAAATAACAGATCACTGTATGTTTTCCAAGGGGATGTGTAAGAAAACAAGGACGCCCAAACAGAAGGTGAGAGGATGAAATCTGCCAGACCCTGGGACCATACTGGAGAAGAGTAGCTGCAGATAGGAACTGCTGGAAGCAGCTGGAAGAGGCATATGCTATAAGGCACATCAAAACAAGGAACATAATTTAAACAAATTTACTCTTTTACAAAAATTATTACTTGTTTTCGACAATAAAAGGCTATTTTATATATTTATTTACTGCCTTAGATTTATTTTAAGCATGTGGGTGGTCTATGGTAAAGTAGCTATTTTCCAAACAGTCTCTAACAACTAAGAAGTGAAGCACCACCGCTCAGGACTATCAAGAGGTATCATTCAATCACCAGAAAACATACTCAAAAATCAAAAGTTGCACACTAACAAAACAATAATAGTGTTATACTAACAGTTATCCTGTGACTACGCATGTGTAAAATAGCTAAAATATGTCCAGTTGTTTCAGAACCTCTTCAAAGCAAACATACCAACAATGAAATCTTTCCTATCGTTTTATCAGAATTATATTTATCCATAACATTTACCATTCTTTTTATAAATGCAAATTTTGGGTGTTTTTGGCTAAAACATTAAAAAAGTATATACTTCATTATAGATGTGTAGACTCTTGTACTAAACACATTACTATATGTACAACACTTAAAATGTTTACAAACAACACTTCATAGATGATGAGCCATAAGGAAGAAATTGAATTAAATATACTATAAATGCTGCATAATACTATAACATAGTAACAGCAAGATGGCAGAGAATGTTAGAGAATCGAAATTACCAATATGTATTAAAATAAAATAAAAAAAAACTAGAAACATTCTTTTCAGACACTGCCATTGAATGATATGCATAAAAAACATAATATAATCAAAATCACTATTGGCTATGTGCAGGACTTCAGCAGCACATCTTCTGCATTTTTACTTTAAAATTTGTGATATTTTTAAATAAATATTGAATTTAAAACCATCTATTATATTTACTACTGTGATACTCACTAAAAATCATTTCAAATCTAACTAAACTTTTTCTTTTCTAAATGAGTTTTATTTTGGTTATGTTAGAGTTTATTTACCTTATTTTTAGTTGCAATTTTACTGTAAAGTTAAAGCAGTTTAATTACATATTCACAGTAAATATACATATATTAATAGTAAATTAGTCCTTCGTGATTAAATATAATCCATATTCAGATGGAAATGTGTATCATTTTGAGGACTCAATTTGTGTGTACCACTCAAAATATAAAATAAAAACTGACACTTTACATAGTTTGACGGAGTTTATACGCATACATTTTTAATATCAATTCTATTGCAGTTGAATACAGCATGAGTAAAATAACTGATAAAAGCAAACATACATGCTAAAGTTATAATACGTTTATATTTTATAAAACAAACATTCAGTGTGTTACATGAATCGCGCCAATTAGATATTATACAAATTGTGCGATTTCAACACACGTTAAATATTTCATTCGCCTTTAGCTTAGACATGATATTGAACTAACTTGCGCTGTGGTACAGGCGGGCCATCGTGAACTTCCGTCGGTTTTGCGTCAGCAAGAGATCGTAGCGCCCGCAGCACCCGGGGCCCGCGCGCCGCCTCCAGTCGGTCTTTATTCACATAAAAGAAACGCACCGGTTTGGTACCAGCACCATCTACACACCCTGTTGACAAGGACAATTCGCGCCACCGACCCCGCGCCCAGATGAAAAATTTCATATCTAAACCCGGCATTGTATTATAAGAGTAATATGCAATAAAATATACAAGGAATCCCGCGTCTTTCCACAAGATTCAAGAGCCAATGAACAAAGCAACAAGTCCCATAATCACAAAAAAGACGTCACTAGAGAAGTGATCGCCACGTAGGACTGGGCAAAAAATATCGATATTTTACTGAAAAATCGATATAGATCAGCGATATTTTATAGAGTTTAGTTTTTTGCTTCAAACACAAACCAAAATACCTGTTTGTCTATGACACTGCTTTTTTGGTTGGTATCATTTGGAGTACTCCTGATGTCAATATCAGACAAATACTGATTTGTTTGAATAATGTAACTTTTGTTGTGTTGATGATGTTGTTTTTTTTAATGGCTCTCGGTCGGCCAAGAAAGTGGTTTACCAGTTTTGACAACATTTCCCGTGTCTTTAAAGCATCGCTAAAGGCGAATCTTAGAATTTTATACAAACAATAAAAGAGATGCACAATGCTGACGTGTTGTCGTAGAGCACAAATGTTATTTTAAACCTTTGCAGCCTTTGCATTAGATAATAATTTGCAACAACAAATAGTCTTCACAATATTTCATAAATTTAAAATTTTAGTAGGTCACTTCAAAGTGGAAACTATTTTGTTACGAAAACTCTTTTACTGAAAAAGAATATATCACTTGACAATTTATGTCAAATATTTTCTCGGCATTTTCCGTAGGTATTTTCCTAATTAATTTACACTACAATGCCCCGAAATTTATCCATTAACGAAAGAGCACAAATAATCGCATTACACAATGATGGTTTGAATATTAGTGAGATTTCTAGAGAATTAAATGTGTCGGTAAGTATTAGTATTAGTAAGTATTTATGTCTGACGTGAGTTTAATGTAAAATCTCAGACCAAGTCCGAATCTAACAATTTTTTTTTTATAATTCCGTTCATATTTTATTTTTGATTATAGAGACAAGCTGTCCGTCTTTGGATAAGACGAGAAAGAGAGAAGGGGAATTTGAACGCTCGGAGTCGTAGCGGCCGTAGACCTGAAATATCAGATACTCAACGAGTCTTCATGAGACGGAGTTATGAGGAATCTAGCTTTATACCAACGCGTTATTTTGCCGACATATTTGACGTGACTCTCCAAACCATTAGAAACCATTTACATTACATGGGCTTACATCACAGGCGTTATGCAAAGAAAATTTATATGACTGACGCTCATAGAATGGCCAGATTAAATTTCGCCATAGAATATTTGGATTTTGATTGGAGTAACACTGTTTTCTGTGCCGACAAAACTTTTAAATCCAGTCAACACAGGCGTCTACACCTTTGGCGATTCAATAAAACGCGATACACGCTAAATCATGTCGTGCCAAATAGAGAATCGGGTCGTATCTCGGTAAATTTGTATGGATGGATGACTGCTGATGGTGTTGGAGACTTGACCTTTTTGCCACCACGAGCAACGGCATCAGATTATGTTGATGTTCTCCAAAATGCTATGTTGCCATCCGTCCGGCACGTTTATCCAGAAAATGAAATGCGTCAATTTAATTATTTACAGGATAACTGTCCCTTACATAAAGCAAGGGTAACACGTGCTTGGTTTGATGCACATCCGGAAATAAACTTGATACCATGACCTGCAAAATCGCCAGATCTCAACCCTATTGAAAATATGTGGGGTCTTATGGTTCAGAGATGGTGTAACCGTAATGAACGAACAGCAGAAGCACTACAAGGGCACTGCAATGAGGTTTGGGAGGAAACACGTGGGTCTGAGATCTGCTCAAGACTGGTGAGCTCGATGAAGGAACGTCTCCAAGCTGTTATAGAGGCAGATGGCGGCTACACAAGATTTTAAGAATTATAATTTTATAAAAGAATTGTATATATTTTCTAACAACCAAAGAATTAGCATTTTCACTATCTCTTCTAGTTTTAGCCCTTGTAAGCTAAGCTATGGGTCGGCGCAATATGATTTTCGTCACTATTCATTTCTGTTATCCGTTATCTCAGTATATTCAGACCTATAACACGCATAGCTTCTTACGCATAGCATTTCACTACCTACTGTTCTTTTTTTTTATTTTTTATTTGTATTAAAATATAATTAATCTACATTCTAATGTAGGATATTTGTAGACTATAAGACTTCATTTACGATATTCTAACTTTAAAGTATTTAAACATACAAACAGACAGACAGAAAAAAAAATTTTTGGCTTCTATTAGTCTTATGAAGGCCGTCCATATATTTTTTTTTTTTCCAAAATATCTTACAAATGTAACCTTGTTACATTTTTATTATAGGTATAGATAATTACTGTCAAAGGTTACGTCAAAATGATGAAGATAGCAATAATGACGTGTACTTGACGTGTCAAAAAATTAATGCTACGGAAAATCAACCTTGTTGTTAGTTGACGTAACACGCGAAATTCAACCTTAGGGTGGTAGACCACTTTCTTGGCCGACTGTACCTATTTTGAATAATATAACTGATGTCAAAAGATGATCAAAACTGATGTCAGTTTAGTGCGTGCGCTCGTAAGTGACGGATGCTATTACGACTGCTCCGAGATAAAATTATAAATTTACCAACCGGAATAAACAGGTTGCTTAGCCAAAGTAGAATCGATTAGTTTGTAATAATCAAACGTAAAACGATATGTTATGTGCAAAGTGTAACGATGCAGTCACGGATTTTGTGTCGTGTAGCCTGTGTGAGGGTAATTTTCACTATGGATGTGCTGGCGTTACGGAGTCCGGTTACAGAAGAATGGGACTTGAAAAGAAAGCTGCATGGCGTTGTATGTCTTGTCGCACCAAGTCTACTGAAACAGGAGTATTGAAAGAAATACGAAATCTTCGCGTGGATTTCAATGAAATGAAAATGGACTTTGGAAACGTTCAAGCGGACATTCGTAGTACAAAGACATCTATGCAAGAACTTAACACTAAATGGAATGAAATGGAGAGCCATAATTTAGTGGTCATAACATACCTGCTCGCATGACTTTTAATGATGAGTCTTCATCGGATGTTGAAATTATTTGTGATATGTTTAATGATTATTTTAATTCGGTTTTTGAATGTCATAATGACACTAACTGCTCTATTGCTGCGAAGATCTGTGGTTCATCGTGTTTGGCTGATATATCTTCCATATTAGTTAACCAACACACCGTTGAAAAATTGCTCGAACAGGTCGATATCAACAAGGGTGCCGGTTTCGATAATTTAATACATCCTGTTATAATTCGCAAACTTTTTAAGGAGTTGTCAATACCACTAACTATTATTTATAGAAAATCGCTTACGGAAGGAAGTTTCCCCTCTATTTGGAAAAAAAGCATTAATAACGCCAATTCCAAAGGGTGGTAATAAACATGACATAAAACAGTACAGACCCATATCAAAGTTGTGTGTGTTGGCAAAAATTTTTGAAAAAATGGTTACTGACTTTTTGTCGGATCGATTGAAACATTCTATTGCGGTGGAACAACATGGTTTTTTCGCGGTCGCAGTGTTAATACGAATTTGGTTGAATACACTGATTTCGTGCTGAATGCATTGGATATTGGATATCAGGTGGACGCCGTGTATACCGACTTCTCCAGGGCTTTTGATAAAATTAATCAAAGTGTATTAATAGAAAAGCATCTGGGGATCGGTGTACATGGTGACCTACTTAGATGGATCGAATCATACATCAGCAATCGAAGTCAAGCTGTTGCGCTTAAGGGTTACCGATCTAGATTCCTTAATATTCCTTCGGGGGTTCCTCAGGGGTCCCATTTGGGCCCTTTCCTATTTTCTTTATATGTAAATGATGTAGGTCTTTGTTTCGCCAAGTCTCATTTTCTTATGTATGCAGATGATACAAAAATCTACAAGATGATTCGTAGTCTCGATGATTGTGAAAAATTGCAAGAAGATTTAAATAATTTTGAACATTTTTGTAGAGCTAATCATTTGTCCTTGAATTTAGATAAATGTAATATAATAACTTTTACTCGTAAACATAACCCTATTCACTTTGATTATAGAGTCTCTGATCAAAGCATAACTCGTGTAAATTCAATCCGTGATCTTGGTATAATTTTAGATTCGAAACTACATTTTAACTTACATATTGATTATATAATAGCCAAGGCATATAAACAGTTGGGCTTGATCCTTCGCTTGGGTAAGGTTTTCAAAAATGGTAATACACTTAAGATTTTATATAGCGCCTACGTTCGCAGCATTCTCGAATTTGGTAGTGTAGTTTGGAATCCTCAGTATGCAGTTCATAAGGATAGAATAGAACGTGTTCAGCACAAGTTCTTGAAATCATTGAATTACAAAACTGGTTTTTATTGCCATGATTACGAAGAGAGCGCAAGAAAACATAAAATACAATCACTATCCAGTAGGCGACACTACTTAGATTCTATATTTCTGTATAAGCTAATTCTCGGTCATATTGATTCGGCAGCTTTGTTACAAAAAATATCACTGAAGGTTCCTCGATCCTCAACACGTTCGAAGGATACTTTTTGTATTGCGTTTTGTCATACGAAATATGCGCAGAATACTTTTCTCAGGAGAACATGTAATTTTTACAATGGGTTTTTGAATGAGATAGATATTTTTTCAATTTCAATTAATGTTTTCAAGGCAAGAGTGGGGGAATTATTGTTTAAATAGTAATTTTTGTAATAATTAGTGTGGCTCATATGAGATATAATACATTCATTCCCTTAAAAATGGGTGGTCTATGGCCGTAGTTTTGGTTGCTAATGGTGCACTGTTTATGTGATGTTCGTCATTTACATGCATTGCTTGCTATCGATATTATTAAGTTGTCAATTTATGGTACTATAGGTCTGTTTGTTAACAGTAGCTTCAACATTATCTGTATGTGACTGTTTGATACCTGAATAAATAAAATAAAAAACAGCCAGGTATGTATTTGCTTTAAAATTTCGGATATATTGACAATTTTTTTTTTAATAGATAATCG